AACGCAAGTTATGATATAATAACTTCAATAAGTAACAGATTATTTTAACGTTACCTTCATAAAACGAGGAAATAACGATTGTGATATCTAAATATCTAATATTTAAATTTGTAATTCCTATATTCAATTCTTAGAAGAAAAAAAATTAATATTCCTAATAAAATATATTACATAAGAAAAAAAAAAGATCAATATCAGTAGGTAATATATTACCATGATTAACACCAATTTATAAGTAAACAGCAATAATGCCAGATTCTCAATAATGCAATAATGTGTATATAATATACAAACACAACACAGCATGATGAAGTGTGAACCTGGCTTAAGATGTATTTTTTTTTTTTTAGTGTACAACTAATATATAAGTAAAAAGATGGACAAGTGGGTACCTCTCTGCTGTACAGTAGTTGTCAGGTATGCCATAGTAATGGATATGTTATATTTGAATTCAATGATATATCATTGGATACGAAAAACGATTCTGAGCCAAGATGGTGCAGTATACTTGGCTCAGTGACGACGAATACATACGACTACTACATAAATACCCCATAACTTTTGTAGGTGGTGACTGGTGGGTGACTGCTTAACGCTTTAAGGTCTTGTTGAATTAGATAAATTACTACTAAATATACAATATCGTAAAAATTATATATTCCAACGCTCATAAAAAATATTGTTACTTAACGCTGAACTTAATTGTTTTGTTATAACTTATAAATATACAATTTGGTTGGGAATCTTCTATTAAAATTTCTTAACTAAGCAATAAAAAAAAATTACTTATGAATTTCTAACTAAATAATCATTTAAGACATTTGAACAATTTCTCATGTATGGATAATGATCGTTTTAACATTAAGTAAAAATTTCAAGTATCTAGGTTCATTCGTTTTTAAATTGCAACAAATTATCAAAAATTGATTCATGAAAATCCATTATAGTAAAAATTTAAATTTAAGCACTCATAAAAAATTAATGTTGCTTTTCGGTAAACTTTATTTTTGATTAAGGTAGGTAAATTTGGGAGTAGAATTCTTTCAAGTTTCAAAATTTATAATGTTAGCTTTGAAAAGTAAACCATTTATGAATTTCTAATTGAAAATTTTTCGATATTTTGTCAAAACCTCAATTTCAATTGCATATAAAAAAAGGTGGGCAAGTGGGTGTCGCTCTGCTGTACAGTAGGTTACAAGTGGGTCACTGTATAATGGATGATATTAAATTTGAATTCAACGATATAATATCATTGTATAAGAAAAACGATTCTGAGCGGAGACGGTATGTCAGTCTATGTATAATACATATTATATACAAATCTATGGTATTAAACAAAAAATTGACCTATAATAGGTACCTATAATAAATTCCAAATTAATCATATCACAATATCCATTAGGTACTTATAACGCGTTATACATCAACAAAAACCGTGATACTATCATAGATATATAATAGTACACTTTAGAAATTCAAGTACCCACGAATAATATAATTCAATCACAACAAAATAACTACAATAGTTATTCAAGGTTTTTTAATATGTAATTTCATCCAAATTTGAATTTAAAATGTCTGTAAAAAATAACTGTGTTCATATATTTTTTAGATTTTTTGGTTACAGTATGAACTATTTGTGAGAACCTCTGTTTTAAATTTGCACTCCTTAGCTATAAAAATTGAACATTTTATAATTTATTAATTTCAATGATAGATAATTTTCGAGATTTTGATAAATTTTGTCAAAATTTGATCTTTAAATGCTTATAAAAAAAAACTGTGCCTATGTATTTTTAATATTTTTCAACTGCTATTGTAACAATATATCAGGAGCCTTGTATTAAATTTTTACACTTTTTGGCCCAACAGATAAAACTTTATTGATATTTATAGAAAAAAAAACTAAAAAAAATTGAAAGCTGTAAATGTCCATAAACAGCTCAAAAAGAGTCAAAATATTTTCAAAATTGTATGGTGTATAGGAAATGCTAATATAAACATTCAGTGAAATTTTCATGTATCTACAGTTATTTGTTTTTGAATTACAACAAAATAAGGAAATCGCTACATGAGCAATCGAGTGAACATCCAATGTTGTAAAAATTTGAATTTCAAACGCTCATAAAAAATTAATTTGACTGTCTGGTAGAGATTTTTTTATTAATAAAGGTAGATAATCTTATAAGGAATCTTGTGTTTAATTTTCAAATCTTAGATTTAAAAAGAAAAATTTTTACGAATTCTTAACTCAAAATAATTTGCTAATTTTCGTGATTTTTCCATATTTTGTCAATTTTTGAACTTTAAATGCTTATAAAAAAAAAATTGTGACTAAGGATTTTTAATATTTTTCATCTGCCTTTGAAACAATATATTAGGAGCCTTCTATTAAATTTTCAAGCTTTCGCAACCAACAAATAAAATTTTATTGATATTTTTAGAAAAAAAAAATAAAAAAAAATGGAAAATGAAAATGTCCCTAAACAGTTCAAAATAAATCAAAATATTTTGTAAATGTTATCGTGTATAGAAAATGCAAATATAAACAACCAGTGAAAATTTCATGTATATACCTTCATTTGCTTTAGAGTTACCTACACCAAAAACCAAAATCGATTTTTTGGAAAACCAATTTTGCGTAAAAATTCCCGTTTTTCCTTAATTTTTATGTTGTTTTTCCCGGCGCTTGTGAAAACTACTGGGAAATTTATACGTTTGACCCCCCCAAAGTACCAACTAGATTCACTTTCCTATCAGAAAAGCTACTGATGAAGAAAATCCAAGCACTTTTACTGTCCTAAAACGTGATGACAGACACAAAAATAAAAAAAAAAATTAAAAATTAAAAAATAAAAAAAAAACACATCATTGTAAAATCAATACATTCATCGTTTCACTCAGAATCTAAAAATCGTGCCTATGTATTTCTAATTTTTTGTACTCACATTTATTAAAACTTATAAGGAATATTGTATTACATTTTCAAGCTTTTTTACTAAGCAAAAAAGGTTTTTCCTTTTTTTTTTTTTAAATTTGGTACTCTTGGAGAACAACTAATGCACAGTATTTTCAAGGTGGAGATCAGTTAATCTTAAAAAATATTTATTCTTTAAAAACGTAATTTTGAAGAACGAAGTTTCACATAATATGTCCAAATATAACATAAAAATAAATAAAATAATGAAATATCTATGATGCACCGAAAACCAGTATTTAAAAAAATACTCTTTGTGGTCTAGTTATTTCCACTCGACAGGCCACCTATTGTCAACCTCTGCCTTAACCCATCAAATATGCATCAATGTGCAAAAGAAAATTTTGTTTGAAATCAGCTTGATTTGAAATGCCCATATTTTGAACCATCATAAAGTTGTGCATACACAATACACATAGTATGAAAATAAAGTAGCTGCATAAGCTTAGTATGGGGGGAGGGTTAAGGGGGCTATAGCATTACCTATAGCTATATTACCCCCCTGAAATTGTGTTAAGTTACAATTTTAGAATATATGTTGTGAACCAGAAACATAGGCTATAGGACTATTCAAATTTATCACGTTACGCATATGAGTAACTAATGAAAACAAAATATCCTCAGTGTAGGTCAACACAATATAGCATACATTTTAAGATAATAGACTCAATGTCTTATTATATAATATACATTTATTTATAAATCCACCTTAATTAGATAAATATATAAATTCTGTGATTACTTATCTGGAGATTATTTGTACACACTACACAATTTTAAATACAATGCGAGAATTATTTTCTCACTATTCAATGTAAGTCCATAGAACAACAAAAAGGATAAGAATATTATTCTATTTTCATATTAAGACAAAGGAATAATTAAACACATTTCACTTTATTCTCAACTTCTTTGGTTTTTGAAACCAATCAAATAAAAAAAAAATATACAATTGTCTGACAATCATTAACATAGAAAATTCTGTTAATATATTATTGCTTAAAATGAACTATTTATTAAATAATAAAATACATTCAGGAACTAAACCAAGTGATGTTTCTCAACAATTAATACATTAAAGTTTTTTTGTGTTTCTTAGTTAGTAAAAATATTTGTGTTCAATATATTTTAAATGTATTTCCTAAGTCATTACAATAAATGATTCAATACGAGTACAATGAATAAAGCACTAGTATTTTAAAATTTATTTTAACCTTTTAGGATTCACATTTTCCAAGATGTTTTATTCTTGAAACAACATCTGTGACCTAAGTTAACGTTTTCAAGATAATTTTTTAATTCATCAATTAAATCATGAAACATTTGTTACTTAGAGTAAGTACTCGACCATAAGTGTAAATATATTAATTATTTAAATAGATGGTTTATTATAAATTATTTGGTAAATAGCGAATTCAGTTGAAAATGGGTTCTTAAATATATTATTACTAATAACTATAAGTCCATAACTATTCATACTCACACATATATATTATTTACCAGTCATAAATACCATCAATGTTCAAAATTTGAATAATTTGTTGACTAAAACAAATTGATAATAACCTGACCTGAATTTACATATTATTGCATTACCCATGTGAATACACATGGTATTATTATTTAATATTTGGTAATGGGATATTAAATAGGCTAAAAAAAATATAATTAATTAATCAAAATACTTATTGATTTCTTCCCTATTCACTGTAACTATTTTTTGGTAATAACTTAAATATTATATTTACTATGAGTAATCAATAGATTATTATTCTGTTCCATAAAAAAATTAAGAAAATAGTTTTTTTCAATAGAAAATAGCGATAGTGTATGATTGGTCAGCGGTTTTAGGTATTATAAAATTTTCCAGAGTAATCCCAAAAGACGGGTTAAATAGGGAATTCATTTTGTGATCGTTGTAAAAGAACGACACGGTTAAAATAAATATTTTTTAAATATAAAATGTTTGAAAAAAATAATATATATGTAATGTATGTATAAAATGAAATTGTTTTCTTTTTTTTTAATCCGAGACACCATTAGAAAAACCATTTGAAAATTCACAATCATTAAAATTACAGACTGTATCAGCTGTAGGAAGTGGAGATGCTGACTTTGAACAATTATTTCTTGGACTAAATCTGGTCCATTCATCCATGGATTCATCCAAAAATTCAATACTATTCAAGAATTTTTTGCCTTAAAAAAAAAAAAATTATATTTTCATCATTAAATAAATTAGAGACAATGAGAACAAGTAACATAAAGGTTTTAAAATATATTAATAATTACCAGAAAATCCCCCAACAGCATACAATCTATTCCCAATCACAGCAACTCCTACATTTGCACGAGGTGTAATCATGTTTGGACCGGGAATCCATATTCTTTCGTTAGGATCATACATTTCAGTAGTAGCTAGTGATTGAGTTCCATCAGAACCACCAACAACATATAATTTCCCTATAAAAACATAACTCATATATTATTATATTGATTATATTGGTAAGCGTAAGATTTACAAAAATAATTGTATGTTAACCTTTGATATGTGCAAGCCCACAACCACGTCTAGGTGTAATAATTGGTTTAATAAATGACCATGAATTTGTCTCTGGATCATAACACTCGACAGTGTTTAAACAATTCCAAGTATCACAACCACCCACAACATATACTTTACCATTCATTGCACATACACCTGCTTGGTTTCTTCCTAATTGGTTTAAAATTTGTATTAAAGTATTTTTTTTTTTTTTTAATCACTATATTTTATTTCACCCTTACCTGTTTGCAATGGAGCAATACTAGTCCATTTATTTGTGTTAGGATCATAGACATCACTCTGTTTGATTCCAACTTGACCATTCCATCCGCCAATGCAATATATTTTACCATTCAGTTCACAAACACCTAAACAATTATATACACATCTTGGGTAACTTCAAATACTTTGTACATCATCAAATTTATTATTTACCAGTGTTTGATCTAGCAAGTGGTAAAGAAGTCACAGGAATCCACTTTCTTTTAATCATATCATAACATTCCACTGTGGATAATTCTGTGGTCCCATTGCAGCCTCCAACTGCATATACTTTATTATTTAATACTGCTATATTAAATCGCCCACGTGCTTCACACATAGGTTCAAAAGTTTCCCAAACATTTTGTTCAGGATCATAAGACTCTACGTTTTTTATACATTCAGTTCGATCATAACCCCCACATACTAATAGACGGTTGTTAAAATTAGCACAACCAATAGCACATTTCCCAGATGTCATGAGAGCTAAAGCACAATAAAGATCAGGCAATGATTCTTGAGACTCAGCTCGGCTGTGCAATGGTGACGGTTGAGTAGAAGGCGGATTTGATAACATAGATATATTTAGTTTTAATTTTATGCTCAAAGAACATAATTGACCTTTTAGTGAGCCCAAAGCAGAAAAAGTATGTTCTAAACACAAAATAAATAATATTAAGATTAATTTATGATAGATTAATGAATAAATAGGTACCTCCAACACAAGTAACACCAAGTATAGTCCAATCACTATCAATAAAACTCTCCCTTCGTTCATGCATTTCACGGTTGCATATCAAAACTCTAGATTTGGCCGGTTGTATTTGACCCTTACGTCTAGTCTAAAGCATACAAATATTATACAAAACATAATAGTTATTTATAAATTTAATATTTTTATGTACCTTTGGAATAGATGTTGTTTTCTTGGATAGTTTTTTATAGTCCTGTACAATTTCAGTATCACTTAACTCTCCAGATGGAAGTTCTGAACAATCCTGTAATATGTTATCTAATGCCAAGTATAACATATACGTCTAAACAAATAATTATGATTTAAAATGAATCCAAATAATTGTTTTTAATATTTTACTTTTTCCATAAGACCATTAAAGAATGTTGCTGGTTCATTCTCATCATAACAACGTTTAATCCAATCTAATACTAACTGAGATACAGAATCACCTGTACTCAAAGTCATCTCTTGTTTTGTTTGACTTAAAATTTCTATTTGTATGCATGGTAATGACAGAAAAGTTGAAGTTTCAGCAATCTCTTTCATCTAAAATTTAAAGTTGGAGACATAAAAGTAATCATAATTAGTTATTTTTTAGCAATATTAAGCTTACATGTGCTGATATAAATGAGTTGACTTGGTTAATAAACGATATGTTTGTTGATATACAAGGAAGAGAACGTATCTCAATACAATTATCGACATTCAAGTATTTCAGCATGAAACGAGCCAACTCTTTTGCAATACGGTCCATTTTTAAGTAACAGGCTGCTTGAAATATTGATTTTACTTGGTAAACATTTGCTTCCAGACTGAAAAACATAAAGATGAATCAATAAAAATCTATTCTTTATGTCATTTTTAATACTTTAAAAAGTAAATAATAAAATTAAAAAAAAAAAATTAACACCAACCATGATTTAAAATTTAGGACAGTGGAAATGAAAGATACCCAAGCACAGATTTTTTTATAGCATTGGAAAGGTATGTTATTAAATAAGAACATTTAAATAATTTTAATCTGAAGCAATAAATTAAGTAATGTATTTTTATAAGTTTAAACATGCAACACCCATCCCATGGCGTCTTACAAATGGTGATATATAATTACTTATTTTAATCATTTACAATATTTTTATAAATGATTTTAAACTACAAATAAAATAATTTATGATAAGGGTTTAAATTTGAATTGTTTTTTTTTAAATAAGTAAAATAATATTAATAAAACAATTCATGTCAGATAATAATAAAAAAAAAGCTTTTTGTTCACATTGGTATACTCTTTATAGAAATAGCTTCCTCAATTCCTAATTTTATATATTATGCACAATTAATTATTATTTAGTTACATATTAAAATTATTCAATATTCATCCTAAAAGTTAAAAAAAAACTAATAGGTATACCTATGCCTTGAGGGAATATTTTTACACTATATTATATTTGTTTCTGCCAAGCCTCAAAATAGTATAAGTTATTATATGGAAAACATACTGATAGTATTATTTTTATACAGTATCTAAATCACATTAAGTTTGCATGTTTTTTTTTCAATTTTTCTACATAGACATCAAGAAGGTAATGCTGTTAGAGTTAGATAAATAAATGGTAGCGACAATGCGTTACCGAGATGTGTAGGTGTATTCGATGAGCTTCTCAACAGCAGAACAATCGCTGAGTGGACCAGTGGCATTCAGTGCATATGTTGTTATTGCTTCTCGCTGTGAACCTTTCTTTTCTTCATCATCAGTGCTAAACATCTCCATCAGAAACCGACTCGAGCTGGCCAACACAGCACGGTGACCGTGTAACTCGCAATTTCCCACCTACACACACTCATGGTGGTCGGTCTACGTTTCAAAATAGTCAACACTTCCCGTCCAACCCACAAATTACAAAATAATTTATTCAATAAAAATAAAAAAATAAAAATTCCCATAACAAATTTTCAGTAAACCAATTTTTTTAATTTACCAATCTAATTTTATAATTTATTCTTAATTGTATAATTAATAATGTCAATCTAAAAATACTCAAATTTTAATTAAAATTATAATAAACTTAACAAGGCCCAATAAGTTAAACAGTCATAATCAATGATTTAACTTACATTTAATATAACATCACAAAATGTTCGACTTTTGCGCATCATGTTAAGTGAATTTAGTAATACCGTTTGATGATCTTCATCTTCCATCACAAACATAGCTCCCGTATCACAGCCATTTAAATCGGGATTCATATTTTTGCCCGCTGCAACTTTGTCTATGTTATTATGCCCATCTGAAATTCAAATAATTATATACTAATACTATTATAGTAAGTCATTTCAATAACTAATAAAAAATTATTTTATAGATTTTAATGTTTTTGAAATTTATTTAAAAAATTTAAATAGATAATAATTTATTAAACTTCCTATATGTTATAAATATTCACCCATTATTATTCAAATAAATATAAAGTTATTTTAGTCACGAAAACGAAATGTTCACAATAGATAGTTATGTTCATATTATGTTGTAGGCAAGATATACTTAAGCACTTTGCAAAATTACATTAAAATATATATATATAATAGACCATGAATTAGCTATATATCTATAAAAGCTATCATAGTATAGAGATAGGTATCATAAGTTGAAAAACAAATATCAATGAGTGACAAGGACTCTTGAAAACTTTTAAAGATAACTACAAATCCAACTCAATAATTGTATACTATTTATATAATTAAAATATAACAAAGAAATGTTCTTCTAAACAAAAATTAAAAAATATAGACAATTAATTTCTTAACATAATAATAAAATTACATTTTACAATCTATCAACAGTCACAACAATTATAACACGAAGTTTGTTGATGTAAAATAATGATACCATAGCGACCAGATCACTATTTATTTTAAAACGTAAACTCTGCTTTTATGACACCAATACACAACTATATACAAGGGTTGGGTTGATGAATTGATTTGACAGAAGCGCTAAAAAAAAAAAAAAAAGAGAAGTGGGGTAAAGCCGAAAAGGGAATAACCTTGATTTAAACGATAGATGAGGTGCACAAATTGACTTGTCCCTCTTCTTCCTTACGAGTTTTAGATACCCTGACGTAATATAGAACATATTGGATTTACTTAATATTTTATCTTCATATTCGATACTGACCTTGTTCCTAAATATCGTGACTAGTTTAAATTAATAATACATATATTTAATTTATGTTTATGTATTTAAACGTTATATTGATTTTCGAATGACGCACTCAAACAAAACAAATCCGCCAACATAATATTATCTATCAAACATTTACCGTCTAAAAAAAAAATACTTAAAAATAAATAGGTCAATAATAATAAAATTACTATGAAAGTATCGACTGTATATTGTCAGACTTCTTAAAAGTAAATACCAACGGGCTACTGGTTAATACAAATCAGCATTTTTATATTTAATACAACATCGTACTGGCAAATATTATTTTAAAACGTAGAGCTATTATGCTAATAAGATTTAGAAAACTTAATAATATTATCCTTATCATGTATGTTACTAATATTGGATAAATATATTATATTTCAGTTCCCAATCAATAATTAATTCAATTTAATTAATATTATGTAATATGTTTGATATTTGACAACTAAATATGTATAACGTAACATTAAAATACAAAAGCTCAGCAGATATAATTATAATATTCTCACTTTTAAATTGTTTGATAATACTAGAATAATAGCCTATAGGTCAATCGTCAATGACAACATTAAGCAGTGTTGGTCCAACTAAAAGTAAATTTATAATGTAGCATTGAATTTTAGACGGTGATAAATCGTGTCAATCATGTCAATGATCCGACTTCTAATTTTTCGGCAGAAGCCCACGAATACACAACCTTTGAATATATTATAACGTGAGAACATATATAGGCCAATATGACTAAAAAAAATTGTGTATAAAATAATGTAGGTAACCTAGTTTTGTTGTTTAGCATTTGCTACACCATTTAAGGAATTTTAAGATAATAATTAATATTATAATTAATATAATTGTAGATACCTACATACATTCAAAAGTTCAAAATGTTAAGTGATGATAGTTTTATATTGATAACTAAGACGGTAAAATATGATTGTTGTAATGTTATTCAGCACTGTAAAATTAATTATTTATTGGAAAAATTATTCCAATAATAGTTCTATAAATGTATAAACCCAACACAATTTAAATAAAATATTTTTATAGTATCGTAATTCATAATATGGTATACAATAACTGACTGAATAGAGTGTAATCAACAAATATTCATAAATTGTGTATATAGGTACATTATGGTGGTCACTATAGTCACTATAGTGCGGCCAGCGAAACTAGAAGCTTGACTGTCACGCTCCCGGTGGCCATTTTTCATTAGGGCTACGAAGAATGGTTTCCCGCGTATAATAATTTCAAACACTTGTTATACGTGCGCGTATCGTATATTTATACGCGTGGCTATGAAACGGGTCTTTACTTTAAAGGCATAACAATTTATACTTCTGTATAACACATTTTTTATTAATTTATTATCAAATTTTCAAACATAAAATAATAATAGTAACATTTAAAATATTTACAATTATTTACGAAATTTAATAATAAACATAAAAATCTATTCATCGTCATCGTCATCATCGTCGCTTGAACTGCTGTCGTCTGGATAAATTGTTAAAATTATTGGCTCTAATATTTCGTCCCTCAGTCCTGCTTTGTGGAAATCCTCCTCTTGAATTTTCACGCAATGTTCTCCACATTTGGCCCAATCATCAGCAGTTACCGCATCAATTTCTTTATGAACGAGTGCCTCAACATCAGCAATTTTAAATGTTGAGTTTTTTTCAGCCACTCTCCCTTTAAATTGTGCCCAAATCAATTCTATGGGATTATACTGACAGTGGTAAGGTGGAAGTCTCACCACTTCATGCCCCATTTGGTGTGTCAATTCATCCAACTTATAAATTTTTCCACGCGGCATCGCAAGTTTGACTTTCGCCCGTAATTCGTCAAGAGTTTCGACGGGAGAAAAGTCTATATTTTTGCCACGCAACCATTGCTGAACATCCGTTTTTTTACTATTTGACTTCGGGTAGTCTTCGAGTAATGCAGAATGGTATGACGCGTTGTCCATTACAATGATACTGGGCTCCTCCAAATTCATCAACATTTGCAAATACCACTTTTCAAAAATTGTAGCATTCATCTGTGAATGATAATCTTTGGTATTGCCAGAGTTACAACGAAAAATTAATTTTGCGTCTTTGACAAAACCAAAGGAAGGAGACCCAGCGTGACAAACAATAAGGCGACTGCCTTTCCCTGTAGGTACTTTTAAGCCCTCTGTATTCTCCTGGTTTTGCCAAATATGTCCCCGAGTATGATTTTGGTTAACCCAGGTCTCGTCTAAATAGACTATTGGCCGAATATCACCATTTGTACGAAGCTCGTTCATTTTACGTAAAAATTTTACGCGCGCAGCTACTATGTCCGACCGTTCCATAAGAAATTTGCGACCGTCGTTACACCTTTTGTACTTAAAATTAAGTTTTTTCAAAATAATTTTTACCGATGATTTCGACCCCCGGTAATCAGTTTTTTCTCGCAATGCTGCTAAAATTTTTGCGCTTGTTGGAAATTCTCCTTTATCATAAAAGCTGTGAACCACTCTTCTAACCACTTCACTGTCGAAATCGTCAAGATTGGTGACAGGTTTGTCACGACTATAACGTTTTCTAGGTGATCGAAATTTAATATCCGTAGAACTTCCGGTACCTAACTCTTCTTCATCACCCAAAGATATAGTTTTGCTTTCCTTACAAATTCTCTGTACAGTAGACCGACTTACCCCACAAGCCTCAGCCGTCCTCTCTTGACATAATCGGAAAAAATTTGCTACTTCCGGCTGGTCTTTTTTACTGGCCAACGTTTTAAAAAAATTGTACACGTTGTATATGGTTTTTTTGGTTTGTGAATGAATATCTGGCCGGGTCGACATTTCAAATAAACAATATACGCATAAAAATAATGAAAAACCGCAAAAAAAAACAAAAATGTACAAACAAACAATATGTAACAGCTGTACAAGAAATTCGTAACAAACTCAATTCAAATTATAACAACCAGCACACACAAAAAACATGTTACACGAAGCAAAGAAGTCCAGTGACTAATATACAGATCATACAACATATGGTTTAATGGTTAGAGGTTTGTATTAAAATCTAAAGGTATTCGGCATGGGACGGTCACACAATAGCATTATACGTTATAGGGCATAGGCTATTGTACATTTTCGGAGGGTACTCAAAATTGTTTATAAAACAGCTATAACAGCTTCAACGCTTGTCTGCATCCTTAGAAAAAAATATAAAACTAACCTAACATATCCACTATAATAAAAAATATTCATTTCGATAAAAAGATCGCGCAGCTGCACAAACAACCTAAATATTTAGAACCCCTGGCTTTCACGAAAACGGTCACCGGGAGCGTGACCATCATGCTTCTAGTTTCGCTGGCCGTACTATAGTCTATTTTGACACGTCAAGTCAAATGAATAAGTTGATTGCTATTCAAATGCCAGGACACGAAATAAGAATAGCATGGATCCGTCTTTAATATTATAGTCTTTAAATATGCACGACCCACGGTAACATTAATTCCTTCTATATAGAAACATTCAAACACCTCTTCCTGTACCTATATTATAATTTACAACTTTGATCCACATATCATATGAAATATCTGTGTTTTTGAAGAGTATTTTACGAGTTATGAAGAAATAAAAAGTACCATGCAATGGTCATCAAAATAGGTACGAATACTTGATGTTGCCAGACGCCAGTGTTAGGAATACATATTATTTTCCACGGGAGAACGCACCGAATTTCATGGAGAATATTTTTCTGGACAGGAAATAGACAAAACCTTGTACAATCTCGGAAGAGTGGAAAAATAGTAATAATAGTACTTACGGAAAAACACTAGAATTCCTGTTTATTTTTAACAGGACAAGGTAAAAATTTAGAATAGAATATGAATATAAATACTAGATTTGTGGTGAGAACTGGTTGTTCCGATTTCACTATTTCGACGAAAAATTAAAATTTTAAATACGTGGTTTGATAAGTTTGAATGACTTAATTATAAATGGGTACAGACTGTCTATACTCTATTCATAATAAGACGACACTAGGCGGCCACGATAAAAACCGGTTTTTTTTTATGTAAATCTGGTATGCTCTTATTCTGAATAGACTACCATAGATACTTAAATTATATTATATTTTAATCCAGTGGTTCCCAAAGTGTGCGCCGCGAGTTCTTTTAAGGGCGCCGCTCTGCCGAAGAATTCTGTATGATCCAAAAATAAATTTGAAAACCCACCTAACCCTCTACCAAAAAGTATGCTATAATAATATAGTAATAGCCTATACACGACTTATCATAAATATTTTGCAACCCATAGGTTGGGAAACACTTGCTATATAGCACAATTGCAGAATAACCACAATTCCAAATATCCACATAGAAATGGATTTGATGAGGTAATCGTAATTCACTATATTAAGTAAAATACTGAAAAACAAATTTTGAATTTTATGATGGATGTGTTGAATCAGTGGAGTGTCTACGCCCTACGGGGGGAGTCATTTCCATTCCACCGGAAACAAAACACTTTACAGAATACAACATGTATATAATAATATGAATATAATATGTTTATGTGCATACTGCAGTGATGAAAATAGGGGAGGGGCTTAGCCCCCTCCCCAAAAAATATTCCTTATTTAGATATATGCCACCTATGGGTTATTTTACATTAATAGCTTTGTTAGGGGGGCTGTAGACCCCCCCCCATAATTTTAATCCTAGTTGTGCTATGGCATACTGAATGTCTATTAAAAATTGTATATTTCCCCCATAAAAATCATAGACATGCTACTGTGTTAAATCCGAGGTTAAATCATATTGAAAATTAGGATGTACCCAATAAGTTTATAGATATACCCATCCAAATCATTTAAGATTGTTAAAATGCGGGCAATGCTCCTAAATTTCAATGGATATAATATTGCTGTGATAGAACTATTATTTAGCCTGTTACGTATGTTGTTCAAATGCACTACAGAAGCAGGCTAAAACACTGATAAATTCCAACAAATTGCATTATGACGTTAGTCATTTGTAAAAAATAAATTGGAATGGAGTTTTATAAAATAAAAAACTTGCCATGCAAATTGTTATGACACCTTAGCCAAATAAAACTATGAAATACTGTTCATATCCACCAATCAATATGTGAATTTGAATATAATTAATAGGAACAAATTATAATTTGTGCTGTACGATAACACAACACTAGAGAATAGAGATTCACATAATAATCATTAAATGTATTATTAAGGTCAAAGTAGTATTTTAAAATAATTGATATGCTTAGTCAACTAATACTACAATATCACAATCCTACATTATTATAAATTAAGTTTTAATAGATACCATATTATTTTCAGTGTACTATGTTCTTTGTAGATACCATTATAATTTATAAGATATACCTACCCAATAAATGAAAATGTGTAATACTCATAGCTTGTTGATTCTAATAATATAGGTAGTATGTGGTTTACCTACATAAAACATTATAAATTTACAATATAAACCTTAAAATGGTTAAAATATAACTTATAATTCATTATGAAATATAAAATATTAATCACAAATGTGTATTATTTTTGTTAAAAATAATAAATAACTTTAGAAGTATCAAGGTTTAAACACTCTGTTACAGAGCTGTGAATAAAATTATTTGTATATTGATAAATTATATTCAAAAAATGATTATTACAGTTTTGGATGTCTTGGGTATTATACTATTATCAATGGGTATTTATATATTAAATACAATTTAAATAATTAAAATATTTGTATTTTTATCTGTTGTAACTTTTAAGTTTAAACGTATTAAAAGCACATACTATTTAACTATAAATATCCTAATTCTTGTTAAACTGTTACATTATACCTAAGTATTTATTAAATTGAGACATAGTATTCAACTCATTAAAATAAATTATCTATTGCAACATAAAACATTAACAGGTGCCTTTAATTCTTATTGCACATCTTGCAAAAATAATTTCTTCATTGTTATAAATAAGTGGATTTCCAGCTTAAATGTATCTACTTACAAAAATATTTTTTTAATAAAAAGCTAGGAAAATTAAAAATACTGAAATATTATTGTGGTTTGAAACTTAAAAGATAGGTAACATAAAATAAATTTTAAATGTTAAATTAATACAATACCTACATAATCTTCATATTTTTTCCTGTTTCAACCTCTTCGGAAAGTTTACAACAAACATATTAATAGTATGAAAGTATACATTATATTATACTATATTATGATTTAGCTTAAGAATGGAATATAAATTAATTTATAACTTATCAATAGGTACTATAATTTTATTTATATATTATATGCAACTAAAATAATCTGTTGTAATTTTTAAGTTTAAAGGGATTAAAAACACTATTTAATTTTAAATATCAGTAACATCCTAATTCAGTGATAATTTAACCAGTGAACCAGATAATGCAGTAATGGGTACATACACAATTTTAATCCTTTAAGTAATATACTTATCAAATATTCAAATGTAAGTTTTATCAAGTATCAATTTAAAATTTTTATTATTTTATAATCCTAATTATTTGTATATTTCTACCCATACACATAAATATAATTTAAGTGTCTGTCTACACATTCTGGGCTAATTTTCAAAACTACTGAACCGATTTTGACAAGCAAAGGGAGAATAAGGATAAAGGATAAAAATGTTTTTTCAAATCCTATCTTAGAAATAGGAAAAAATATTGAAATGGCCAAAAAAATGTATACCTACTTGTTCAATGTTTTTAAGATGCTGTCCTGAAGGGGTTAAAAAGGATTGATCTAAATTTGAAGCTAGATACTTATCATCCCAGAATTCAAGCCCTGAAGGGTAGCACTCATGTATTTTTTCGTTAAAGAACAAAAGTTTGTTTTGCTTATTTCTGGTTGCAATATTCGTCACACAGAATAAGAAAATAAATACCTAGTTACCTACTATTATTTAATTCAGTCGTCAAATGTCTGTCTATTATTCTATTATTTCTATTAATTTAGTAAATAATAAATAATATTAATTAATGCAATACATACTTGGCAAGAAGCCGTTGGTCTGTGCTTGTTTGTTGTTGTGTTCCATTTTTCGGAAAATATACGTATAGGTATAATATGTAAGTAGGTATACCAGAAACACTCAAGTTGAAGATCTAGTGTAAATGCGGAATAAAAATAACATTTAAATTATGATAATAATAGCGACGAGCTCAATAAATTGTACCACACGAAGTATATACCTATAACAGTGACAACTGTAAAGTGTATTATGAATGCAAAGCTCCATTACATAAAATCACACACACAGTGTCGTAGGTATACGCATAAGCGCAATGGTATACTCGATTACTTACTTCGGAGAGGTTAGAGTAGAATTTTTTTTAATAACTAATATTTACGACGGAATAATTGATCGATCGAGAATGCCGAAAGCACATGTTGCGTCTTCGGCTCCGGTCACGAAAAGAGACGAGACGTCGTAGTGTCGGCAACGAGGAACAACGCGAGCGGCTCAATTAACTGTGGTTTCGGGCGGTCGGCGGTCGGCGGTCGCCGGTCGGGTCTGTGCCCTGTGGCCAGTAGGATGGGTTCACACACTCCACCAGGACCCCCACTCAACGTTCTATGACTGAACCGAAGCGCCGCGGCGGACCGAGATTTCAGTACCTATCATCTGTAAAAATCATTACCCACATCCAGGGACATTGTATGAGATTGCCCCGGTGTCGAACATCCTTGGACCTAACGCGATTACCGAGTTTCCGAAAAAGGACATAATAATAATATAATATACATTATAGTCATTATACTTACGAGTTACGAGTCGTAAGTTACGACGGTACGTAAGTAGGTACTTTCCAGTTTCCAAAACGATTTTGTTGTAAGTTTACGGTTTTGCTAGTCTCACATTAGACTTCGAAATACCAAAATTGGTTGGAATTAAACACGTTCGTTATGTGAATGAAATCACAATCAAATGGCCAACAAAACTTTTAAGAAATAATTCTATTTTACATTTTTCTAGTTCTCAAAAATACTCTTCTAAAATAACTGTCGTCTGTCACATATTTGTAACAGTTTTATTTTATTAATATTCTTTAGTTTAGCAACAAGAAAATTACCGAAATTATTATTGAATTTAATATCCGTTTTTTGCCTATTATTATGTCTAAAAATCAAGACTGGGCATTAACGAGTTAATAAGTTAGAAGTTAAGTTAATTTTAACTTATTAAACTAGTTAGGTGTTTTAATTAACTTAATTTTAACTTAACTCATTTGCCTCTACATTAACTCAAGATCAACTCATATTTTTCTTTATTTTCCCAATTAAGTTAATTTTGAATTCATAAAAATATTTTGTTTATTATGGATTTTCGGTTAATAATAATTATTATCGCAGAATATAGAAAATATTATCAGAAACAAAATAAGATATATTTATATAAAAATTCGTATTTATGTTTAAAGATAAAAACTAATAGGTACCTATATTGTATTAATAAATATTAACATAGAGGTAACATTCTATGCCACAAATTATATTCACAAATCATAATACCTATTCATTTTACTCATTAGTTGTTAATTAATAGTTATTTTTTATTAAAATAATAATGTTATGGTTTGAGGTTTGAATAACATTATTAATTATGAACTTAATTTTTACTTTATTGATGTATTAAAAATGTCTATTATTATTAACTTTAATTTAATTGAAAAAAAAAATATTAATATCATTGCTTGCCTTGCTAAAAATAGCATAGAAATGTTCTTTGCAAATACTAAATGTCTAAATAGTAAGTTTTAAGAGGACGTCGCACCCGCATGTTTTGTCTCCGTCTTACACACGTACGACATGGCAAAATGTTGTTTGCTAGTTTCAATAGGGTGCTGCCATTTTTGATATTAGAGTGATTATCTGTGTTCTCTAGATGGTTTTTTACGATATTTTAATTTTTAAGTGAGTAATGATTATTTCAAACACTAATATTTTACATACTAACAACTCACTTAAAAATTAAAATATCGTCAAAAACCAACGAGAGAACACAATATATAATGTTGTTACGTTACCTAAAAGTTTGACAATAGGTCAATTCACTTCAATATCAAAACTGACAGAACCCTATTGAAACTAGCGAACGAAAATGTCCCATGTGGCTATGCCGTACGTGTGTAAGACGGAGTGTACATGCAGGTGAGACGTCCTCTTAAATGGTTTACCTACACGGCTACACATTTTATTGCAATAAAAAATGATTTCAATAAAATTAAATAAATAATACAACATCCAATAAGGAACATCTCAGATTACACAATTCCTGATTTTAAAATGATCAGTGTTTCTTCTTCAACATTAATAAGAGTCAAAGTAACAACTTGCCTTGCAAAATATGTTTTTGATGATAAAATATCTACTTTAAAAAGTAATGAGTAGTAAAACGATTGTAGAGCTAATTGAAAACTGGTACTTATTTTTTTTAAGTAATTATTTGCACGCTAATTGCCAAATAGTCTTGGATGGATAATTGATATTATTGGTGAAAACTGAAAAGTAATAAAAAGTGGTCATTGGTCAAGCATGAAATGAGTGACAAAAAAAAAATGGGAAAAAGATTTATCAGTTATTCGGAAGGCCAAAACTGTTTTAACTCTGTATTTTTTGAAATAGCTAACAAATATTTCCTTTTAATATACGACTTACTTTTGTATAAATTATTAAACTTACTGAAGCTTAAAATAATATAATATTTATATAATATAGGTAAGACCAAAGAATATTTTTAAAGCAAAAAATTTGTTTTTATATTGCTTAAAAATATTCAGTTAAATATCACCACATTATATTAAGCTCTTTTCACAGAAATAGCATTCCCTCACTACAATTTTTAGGTGAACATTGACATTTTATTAACAATTAATAATATTCATATTTCATACAAATAAGTATAGAATTTACTTATCTTGATATGGGTAAATATAATATTTCATAATTTTAGTTTTATTAAACCCAGAATAAACAATACATATTATTAAACATTTACAACAGAGAAAAGTAGGTGTATGAATAATAAAAATAATATAAATCCCATGTACATGTCACAAATTAAATAAAATAGCTTTGATTCACACCTAAATAAGCAGGGATATGATTTAACATCTAATAGTAAGAAAAAGGATAAGTAATAAGTACATATTTTCATGTAAACCAAAGTGTAATATAATACGAAAAATTAGAAAAAATTGTATAATAAACTACAGAAAATAATTATATTTCTCTGACGTCTGATTAAAGTAGTTTATAGTAATAATCCTATAGATGACTGCATACTAAAGGAAAATTAAAAATAATAAGTTGAACAATAAACAATTTAGTCGTTGAAATTAGTACACTATTACATAATCTATTAGGTTGATTCAGGCTCTTTGTATGTACTTAATAATGTTGCTTTAAAAACTTCTTGTCTCGGCCATATTTGTGCTGCTTTAACGTTTAAAGGACTTTCATTATTTGGCTCTGTAAAATAGTTATATGCATTTAAAATAAAAGTTTATAATTAGTTTTGAAAGTGTTCAATAATTTGAATAGAAACACATTAAAATACAATGACTATCTTTAGCCTATAATTTATAATAGTTAAAAATTTCTAGGGGTAAAAAATTTGAGTTTCTTCCATTTTAGTTTAAATTTCAGGCTAGACTTCATAGAAATCATAATCATAAGAAAGTAAGATAGTAAAACTTTAAAATTTAAAGGTCAACAATAATTCCAATAATATACAAGAAAGCAACTAAAATATACTTTCTGATATTATTTAAATATAATAATATAATTAAAATAGATTTATATTTCCATTTATTTAAATGGTTTCTTAGTATAAATTATGGGTATCGTATAGTAAAAACTGTTAGGTAAAGTATAAATTGAGTAATATTATAAAATCAGGTAGTTTAATTATTAATGTTATGTCAGCTTAAGCTATGACATCGTCAATGAGTAATGTGCCAATACCGATAATTTCTAATAGTGTTTTATTATATATGGCATTATGGCACCTTATTGTACTTTGGACTCTACTTAAGTTAATAGTTAAATTAAAATTGTTATTTTTATTAATTGTTTTTTACTGGGTTTTATAACTGAGCATAGAACAAAATGCATTATATTTACCTCCAAGAAGAGACTGTAATGATATAAGTATTGCTTTGACATCATACATAGCAGACCATTTTTCTTTTAAAATATCCAAGCATATGGCACCACTTGCAAAGTCCACATTAGGATGAAAACAAGGAGTTAAGAAAGTAACGGTTGGTGGTTTATATGGATAGCCACGCGGAAATTCCATACTTAATTTGTATTTTAAATTTTCATATACCTAAAAACATTTTAAAAAATGTATACATTGTATATGGGTACTGATGATTACTAATTTTTTTACATTTATAGAATGAATGAAAACTTACAGTATCTTTAGGTCCAACTATTGTGGCAACCCATCTAAAGAGATTATCACCATCTGGAAAAGCTGATACTGATTCATCACATGACATCTAAAACAGTGAAACATAGTAAAAAAATGTTTTCCTGAATGATAAATCATTGTAAATGATATATGAAATAATAATTGATTGTTTAATATTGTATTTACCAATCAACAATGTAAATATTTAATACACCAAAATATATTAATAGTAATTAGATATTTTTAAATAAATAGTAATTAGTAATTAACTATGGGAACTCCATAATAATATAATTTACTTACAATAACAAATTATAAACCAAATATATTTTAGTATCAGAATTTCTAAAAGATAAGATATTATAATATATTATACTAAAATTATAATCTAACACACATACATTAATAACATTAAAGAATTGTAAACTCATATTTACTGAAAAATAATTATAATTTTATGAGGACTACAAAGTTAAACAGGTAGGTTCTATTCTTTAGTAAATTCAATTATTTTTCACAACTCACTGTGTCATATACAATTGGACTTATTAATGTTGTATGACATATTCTGTTACCATCATTTAGGTATTTATCAAAGTATTAAAAAATTAAATGCACAGAATACAATAAATCATAAATTTGCGAAACGTTAATAGCAGTGGTCAGGAGTAGCGCACTAATGGAGCGATTGACGTAGCGTATTACGCTACATTACGCCTTAGGTAGCGAAATACTATAGCACACTAAACATTTCCGGGTAGCGTAGCAAAAATTATCTTTATTTTGTAGCTGCCTACAATCTAATTGGTGATTATTAAAGTATCAATTATAATTATATTTGTTTAGTTATATTATGATAATAATGAGAGTATTAGTGAAGTTTTTGTCCTGGGTCCTGTCCAGTGACCAAATGTTAAATCAGTACAAACTACAAACACTAGTTTTTAATAAGAACATTTTTAAAAATGTAGCAAAAAACAAGAGCGCTACACTTAGACAATAGTGTTAGAAGTAGCGAGCTACATTTTTTTTTTGGGGGGGGGGGAGTGGCTGTAGCGTTAGCGCTCTACAAAAAAATAGTAGCGTCCCGAGTCCCGTCCACTGGACTTAATAGTCTAATAGTCTATAAGCTCTAAGGATTCCTTGCAAATCATTTAATATGGGATATGTCATTAGTGTCATTGTAAAAATACTAGAAATACAGATTTGGACTAAATTATGAAGTATAATTTCCATATGTTCCTTAAATAGGTAGTTTTATTTTAAATGCCTAAAAAAACTACTTATCCCCATTAACTTTTTTGTAATATTTTATACGAATTATGGTTATTTAAGGAATACCATAAATGTTAATTTGATCGGTTAAATTATTTTTAAAACTTTTAAGCTTTTTATTTAATCTGAATTGCGGACCATTTTTTCAGAACAGATTAGACCAACTTTCTCAGTGTTTTTCTTTAAAATGTGTACACAGTACACATTGTATAATATATCATATAAAAATTCACCTATTACTTAAGATTACATATTTGATTTCTAGTAAAATTGTTAAATTAGGTACATGGCAAACAAAAAACAATAATAAAGAACATTATAAGGTTAGGTTTAACTTACCATCAAACTCATTAATTCTTTTTGCAATCTAAAACAAAAACAAAATACCACATAAATAGAAACAAAATCAAAGGATATGTAACATATACAATTATTCATTTTCATTCATCATTAATGTTACCTTTGGACGACTTTATTCGATTCTATTCTGTCGTTCATATCTTCACTCCGTTTCGGAGAGTTTGACGAACTACCTTCGAGTCTTGGATTAACGTTTTGGGCCATTGCTTAATAACAACTTACGAGTTCCAGAAAAATAACCCAATATATGATGCGTGAAATGGACGGTTGCGTTGGGTTTCCAAAAGAAAAACAAACAGGGTAATAAACCGTATTGACTAAAAATATCACAGATAAATAAATACTACGAGGAATAGGTAAATTTACTCTAGTAGACTTTCGAACTTGAATTCAATTTATAATAAAGCGTTTGGTGCAGCCACTATGGTAGTCGGCAGTCGGCAGTCGCAAGTAAAGTAAGCAAAGTAAACACCAAACGTATATATTTTAAGAACACGGAAAAAGAAATAGCATTACGCATATTATTACTATTCCGAATTCCCGAAAGCAATCGATTGTGGATTTACCGTGTTCTCATTGGTCATATTGTTTAATCACCGTTGTGACAAAATGTAACGGACAAACCAAAGATACGTCGAACATCTGATAGCAAAGAGATCTTATATATTATTAGTTTGATTATCCCGCCAATTTACATGACCGAGAATGAAAATTAATACGCAATAAGTTTAAATACTACAGTCCACATTCCACAAAATAAAGAATTTTACATTCATACAATTATATATTTATATATTTAAATATATAGGAGTAGGCGTCCGCGTCCTATCAAAAGTGCAAGATTGTGAACTTGTTCGGTCTAAACAATTTTACCGGAATTTGTACCTTGTCCTTACTAGTTACGGAATATTGTGTTTTATATAGTATAATATTAGTATTAGTAATTTGATATACCAGGGATGGGCAACTCAATGCTAATAGAGGGTCAATTTTGAAAGTGCAAAAATCTAGTAAGCCAGACAACATAGAAATAAAAAAAAAAGCTTTAGGTATATTAACTATGCCCATATAAATAATACGACATTTTTTACATTTAATAATTCAATTCTAGATAAGAATTCATATCTACGTTTTGCGATAAACATTATCGACTTTAATTATTTTATAAATATAATAAAATTAAATACAAAATATGTTTTTATAAACTAATTTGAAATTTAGCACGAGTCTGTAAAAAATGGTACGCAGGCCAGATGCGGCCTTTTTAAAAATTATTTTTGTACTCATAAAAAAATAAATAGTAGGTATTAAATATTTTAGAAAACTGTATTTTTTCAAAGGTAAAATATGATGATTATGTATCCACAATCCATAAAGAAATATACATATTTCTACAAGCTGCGTTTATCTTTATATACGATTGTGAGTTTTACGTATTTATGAACAAAAAGTGTACTTTTATCGTTCCATTCCTTTTATGGATTTTTTTTGGATTAGCCTTTTATGGAATTTTTTCGTTTAAGTTATATGAATAATGAACCACAAAATTACGTCGATAAATTATAATGATGGAATCGACGTATCTGATGCCGAGGATATTGATATTATAATCTTATATCTACCTTATATTGTGTCCTTTATGCATTCATAAACCGTTCATCCGATTGCGATGAAATTTGGTACAAAGATAGATTATAGACCTAGTGGAAGAAGATAGGCTACATTTTGTCGTGAAAAGGGTACCTAAATAAGAGGTAAAACAGGGGAAGTGCTCGAACCTTAGATCATATACTATGGATGGAGCCACAGTGTATTAAATCAATACCTACAAAAAACCATTGCCGATATCAGCGACGAGTATGATATGTCGGTGTATGATATGATGGTCGATATGCGCATGCGCAAGTGACTTCTCGCATATTTATCCACAGATACCTATTGTAAATATGGATAATATTATGCGTTGCATTGCACTTGCGCACATCGATCACTATTAATTCGATTACTCGTTGTTATATCGACAACAAAATCATACGCTGTGGCTCCATCCATGGTATATGATCTATAAGGCTCGAACAGGGATTTTGAGATTATTATTTATATTATTATTATAATTTGTTTATAAATGGTTCAAATGGTTGCTATTGGTATTAGGTATTGGTTTTTTTGTAGCTTATTATTTTAATCTATTTCTTCCTAACCGAAAAATATAAGATAGTTCTTATTTTACCATAAACTTCTTTATGTTATTAAGCACCAAATGAAAAAAAAAAATCAACTGAGTTATTTTTATATTGAAATATTTGAAATAATTTTATAACCCAGTTTTACGTGGTTTATTAACAATAACATAAAAATAAGTACTTAGTACAATAAGTAAATTCTGATTCCACTAAAATGTTGAGCATACTAACATTTCCACAAAAAAATTTTCAAAATTTAAAATGTTTGGTACTTTAACTTATAAGCCCAAAAACACGATTTTTCGAAAAATTGAGCATTTTGATCATAAAACTTCCAATTAAAATTTGAGCGACTTTTTTTAAAAGTACCATCAAATTAAGAGTGCAAAAACACATTGAAAAAAAAATGCATTAGTTTGCCTTAAAAAGTTAAAACTACTACGAAATACCTATAATATATTTAAAAGGAAACAAGGTAAAGAAGTCCTAGGAAAAAAGTCTGAGGCAAAAAAGTTCTGTATAAACTATAAAGTTCTGTATTATATAACAATATTTAATAATTTAATATAATTTATTTTTAAAAAAAAATAATAATTATAACTTTTATCTAGGTTTAGTTCTAAAATATTATTTTGACTTTTTATGCCTCAGACTTTTTAACTACTGACTTTGACTTTTTGGTAATCTACCTTTAAATGTATTGTTTTTATTCAAATTATTGAGAAATTTTTAAGGGGACCAGCAATTACAGTCAACTCGCGATATAACAAATATCGATATAACGAAAATCTTGAAATAACGAATAAAACTACCGGTCCCTTGAAAATATCGCGGTATAATATAATTTCGATGTAACGAACTTTCGATATAACGAATTTTTTTCTCGGTCCCTTGAAGTTCGTTATATCGCGAGTTGACTGTATTTTGAATTACAGAAAGTTTAGAATTATTGAATGTTTGAACTTTGAAATATTTAGTTTAATATTTTGTTTTCTGAAAATATGTGTAGTTACCTAAACGTGTGTACCTATCGTTCTATCAGGTAAAAATATTGTTATGTACACATAGGTACGTGTTACGGACCATTTCGGTACCAGCCCAATTTATAATTACTGTATTAGTTATCAATTATTATAATTTATAATCAGGGACCCCATGGGGGTCTGTTGGACAGTTGAGTACAGGGGCCTGGCTATTTTAGGAGCCCGTTGAAATGAAATTGTAGTTTTTGAAATTTTTATAGGAATATGCCTTATTTTATGATATAAATTTATATTATAATATATTTAGTATAAATCATCGGACACTATATTGCTTGTAATGTGTTGTATTTTATTTTACTGGAAGTTTTGTATAGGGCTAGCAAAATATTTAGTACAGGGATCGAACATTTTATGGGAGAGCCTGTTAATAATGATACAAAATTTAATCATCATTATTCATTATTAACATTTTGTAATTTTTATACATGTATAAAGTATATGTATTATTATCTAATTTGTAAATTGCATTAGTATGTGACATGGGAATATAATAGATTATATATTTTATAATATTTTTGAGAGAATTCTTGAATAATTAATAATAATATATTGAATACTCAATACTGTAGTTTACAGTACATGGAGAATGAGTAGCCAGTAGGTAGTGGAAGTAACTGTTTAAGTAAATGTAACCAATCACGCTATAAGCTGAACGTACGTATACACCTACACATGTTACAGAATGTGTTCCAACTAAATACTCTCAGGCAGACAGACCTCAGTTTATCAACTGAAAACGATAGGTACGATTCGCCGTTCGCGCTTTCACGCTTTCACATTTATTAGTTTATTAGGTAGGTAGGTACTTGTAGTTAGTCATAAACCTAGTAAATTATTTTTATTAAGCTTGGCATTGATTGAGCAACTAGCCTATACTTATCAATTTAATATTTATTAAAAATAATATTATTTAAATGTTAAATGTGTAAAAAAATGTGTGTATTTTTTATTCGATTTAAATCTTACTACCTATCTTAGTTTTGTTCAGTTGAGTAATGTTTAGCCATGTTTGGTAAAAATAATGAAGAAACCGTTGGATTATTAAAAGTTTCAGCCAATAAACTAGATGGGAATATAAAATATGGGTAAGTGACTTATAATATTGTCTTTAATAATAATTAAATAATTAATAAGTATGGAATATGAGTATTTATGACTAACGATGAACAAAGGCACCAGCAGCCAGCAGGGGTGGTTTATGGGGCCACCTCGCTTGGCATTTGTTAACTATTCGTTATTTAATAGCATCCATAGATAATGTGGCATATCGATATCATAATATCAATTTATTATATCATACAGTTTATAAAATATTTCTGGAATAAAAAAATTATTAGTGATATAAGTTTAATAAATAGTTAATAACTGTTAAAATAAGAGATAGGTCCTTATAGACTTATTATAGTCTCTATTCTAAAACCACGATTAAATATCGTGTCTAAAATATAATAATATAATATTATTGATAGGTATACTGCAACTTTAACCATTGGATGTTAATCTTATCAGAATTCAGTTTTATTCTGCGGACTTTGAGGGTGTTGTCTCAATCTGACAAACGCATAACATACCAAATTATACATTCCGGATAATCCATTTATTCATTTAACCCTGTTATAATTAATATTAGACAGAATTGAGTACCTATTGATCCATAACTCAATTTAGAAGTAAGAATAATATTATCAAATTAATCACATAGGGGTTTTTATATTTTAATTTTAAAGCTAGTTAAAAACATATTAAAATATACAAGCAATTTACAATGTTAAATAATTTATAATAGGTCAATTTCACTCATTCTATTAAACATATTGTCTATTGACAGTGTTAAATTAATTATTCAGAATATTTTGTAGCGTCGTCGGATACCCTCTAATTGAGTACTTATACCTACTATTGATTTTGTTTATAATCAGTGTTATTATTATAATAATTTCTAATATTCTATTAACTATACCATAATATGCCGTAATATGGAGTAATATATATATATATATATTTAGGTAAATGTATTTCAATTTTAAGCTCTAATTGTTTAACTTAAATTGTTTTTAATCATCAAAATTGATATCATCATTGTCTTATAAATTCAGTTTATTAAATAGTTTCCAGTATTACCATAGAACGATGTATTACCTATGTTTAATTGTATTTTTTTTTTATTTTAAAAATATTCATAGGTATTCGGTAATATAAAACTATGCAAGTTAATATTGTACCTACATAATATTAATATAGTTAAAATTGTTAAATAGTTAATAATATTATAATAAATAATACTATAATAATCTATATTATACGTAAACGTAATAATACCTAGGTACCAGATACTAAAAACTGTTTTTATTTTACAAGATAACATTTTATACAATCACTGAGTGAAATAAAATTTAAATTGTGGATGCCTACATTATATACTTTAATTTGGAAGTTTTCTATTAATTATGATGACAATTTTATTTTATTATTGATGAATAACTTATACATTAAGATCCGATAAGGCCATAACCAGGCCATTGGTCCTACTCCTACTAGTTCCTCCGATATTAAATATACTTATATACGTACATATCATAAGTCATAAATGACATAAATCATAATGTATTTATACAATTATAGGCTATAATTTATTGCTATTTTTATAATAGAATATCGTTTTAAAAATCATGTTCATTTCCGATAAATAAGTCAACTGCTGAACTGCAGCGTATCAGTAATAATTTCAATATTCATTATAATTTAATCTTTGGAATACAGCTGATAACCTATTAAGTATAAGGTTAAAAATATTATCTAAGATTTTTGTCTATATATTAGTCTATATGGTGACGTTATTGTGTGTACAAATATCTTATATTTCGGTACCTAGTATTTATATAGGGTACCTACGTTTACTATCACTTATCAGTAAGACACGCATATTATACTGATAATTTATTTTATGTAATTCACAGATATATAAACATGCTTATATATCTGTGATGTAACTATTTACTATACCTAATACCTATTATTACTTATTGTATAAACCTTTAAATATATTAAAATTAAAAGATAAGAAGATGGATAGGATTCATACTGGGGTTAGGCGTTCGTTTCTGCTCATAACTCTTGGGATTATAGTTAGGAATCGTATAATATAGTATTTTTAATTGTTATGCATTTGAAGATTATAATAGATTAATTTTAGATTCTGAGTGAAACGATGAATGTATTGATTTTACAAAGATGTGTGTTTTTATTTTCTTATTTTTTTTGTGTATCATCATCATCTTTTAGGACAGTAAAAGTGCTTAGATTTTCTTCAACAGTATCATTTCTGATAGGAAAGTGAATCTAGTAGGTACTTTAGGGGGTCAAAACTCAAAAGTAAAAAATGTCCAGTAGTTTTCATAAGCGCCGTGAAAAACAAAAGAAAAATTAAGAAAAAACGGGAATTTGTCCGCAAAATCTGTTTTCGAAAAACTCTTAAACAAATGAATTTAGGTACATGCAATTTTGACTGCTTGTTTATATTAGCATTTTCTATACAGCATAACATTTTCCAAATATATTTGACTTATTTTGAGTTGTTTACGGACACTTTCAGTTTCCGTTTTTTTTAGTTTTTTTTCTATAAATATCAATAAAATTTTATTTGTTGGTTAAAAAAGTTTGAAAATTTAATAGACGGCTCCTAGTATATTGTTTCAAAGGAAGATAAAATAAATTAAAAATCCATTGTCACAATTTTTTTTATAAGCATTTAAAGTTTAAATATTGACAAAATACGTAAAAATGACGAAAATTTGCAAATTATTTCGAGTTAGAAATTCATAAAAAATTTTCTTTTTAAATCTAAGATTTGAAAATTTAATACAAAATTCCTCATAGGTTTGTCTACAAGAAACTCAAATTAAATTTTTATGAGCTTTTGAAATTCATATTTTTACAACATTTGATATTCACTCGATTTCTCATATAACGATTTTCTTATTTTATTGTAATTAAAAAATAAATGGCTGTATAGATACTTGAAAATTTCACTGAATGTTCCTATTCACCATGCAATTTTTAAAATATTTTGACGCTTTTTGAGCTGTTTACGGACATTAACAGTTCTTAAATTTTTTTGTTGTTTTTTCTATGAATATCAATAAAATTTTATTGGTTGGGTAAAAAAGATTGAAAATTTAATGCAAAGCTCCTGATATATTATGTTACAATATAGCAGTTGAAAAATATTAAAAATACATAGGCAACATTTTTAGATTCTGAGCGGAGCGATGAATGTATTGGTTTTACAATGATGTGTGTTTTTTTTTATATTTTTATATTTTTATATTTTTATATTTTTGTGTCTGTCATCACGTTTTGGGACAGTAAAAGGGCTTGGATTTTCTTCATCAGTAGCTTTTCTGATAGGAAAGTGAATCTAGTTGGTACTTTGGGGGGTCAAAAGTAAACATTTTCCAGTAGTTTTCACAAGCGCCGGGAAAAACAACATAAAAATTAAGGAAAAACGGGAATTTTTACGCAAAATTGGTTTTCCAAAAAATCGATTTTGGTTATTGGTGTAACTCTAAAACAAATGAACGTATATACATGAAATTTTCACTGGTTGTTTATATTTGCATTTTCTATACATGATAACATTTTCAAAATATTTTGATTTATTTTGAACTGTTTAGGGACATTTTCATTTTCCATTTTTTTTTAGTTTTTTTTCTAAAAATATCAATAAAATTTTATTTGTTGGTTGCGAAAGCTTGAAAATTTAATAGAAGGCTCCTAATATGTTGTTTCAAAGGCAGATGAAAAATATTAAAAATCCTTAGTCACAATTTTTTTTTATAAGCATTTAAAGTTCAAAAATTGACAAAATATGGAAAAATCACGAAAATTAGCAAATTATTTTGAGTTAAGAATTCGTCAAAATTTTTCTTTTTAATCTAAGATTTGAAAATGAAACACAAGATTCCTTATAAGATTATCTACCTTTATCAATAAAAAAATCTCTACCGGACAGTCAAGTTAAATTTTTATGAGCGTTTGAAATTCAAATTTTTACAACATTGGATATTCACTCGATTACTCATGTAGCGATTTCTTTATTTTGTTGCAATTCAAAAACGAACAACTGTGGATACATGAAAATTTCACTGAATGTTTAAATTAGCATTTTCTATACACCATTCAATTTTGAAAATATTTTGACTCTTTTTGAGCTGTTTATGGACATTTACAGCTTTCAATTTTAGATTCTGAGTGAAACGATGAATGTATTGATTTTACAATGATGTGTGTTTTTTTTTTTATTTTTTTATTTATTTTTTTATTTTTATATTTATTTTTTTTGTGTCTGTGTACACGATAAGTAGTCGAAATAATGCTTCGATTTTCGACTTCAGTATCTTGTTCGATTGGAAAGTGAATATCGTTGGTGCATTGGGGAGGTCAAAATTTAAATTTCTCAGTAGTTTTCAAGAGCGCCGGGAAAAACAAAAGAAAAATTAAGGGAAAACGGGAATTTTTACGCAAAATCGATTTTTCAGAAAATTGAATTTGGTTTTTGGTGTAACTTTAAAACAAATGACCGTAGGCACATGCAATTTTCACTGGTTGTTTATATTTGCATCTTCTATACACGATAACATTTTCAAAATATTTTGATTTATTTTGAACAGTTTAGGGACATTTTCATTTTTAGTTTTTTTTTAGTTTTTTTTCTAGAAATATCAATAAAATTTTATTTGTTGGTTGCGAAAGCTTGAAAATTTAATAGAAGGTTCCTAATATATTGTTTCAAAGGCAGATGAAAAATATTAAAAATCCTTAGTCACAATTTTTTTTTATAAGCATTTAAAGTTCAAAAATTGACAAAATATGGAAAAATCACAAAAATTAGCAAATTATTTTGAGTTAAGAATTCGTAAAAATTTTTCTTTTTAAATCTAAGATTTGAAAATCTAATACAAGATTACTCATAAGATTGTCTACCTTTATCAATAAAAAAATCTCTACAGGAAAGTCAAATTAAATTTTTATGAGCGTTTGAAATTCAAATTTTTACAACATTGGATATTCACTCGATTTCTCATGTGGCAATTTCCTTTTTTTGTTGTAATTAAAAAACGAATTACTGTAGATACATGAAAATTTCACTGAATGTTTAAATTAACATTTTCTATACACCATACAATTTTGAAAATATTTTGACTCTTTTTGAGCTGTTTATGGACATTTACAGCTTTCAATTTTTTTAGTTTTTTTTTCTTTGAATATCAATAAAGTTTTATCTGTTGGGCCAAAAAGTGTAAAAATTTAATACAAGGCTCCTGATATATTGTTACAATATCAGTTGAAAAATATTAAAAATACATAGGCACAATTTTTTTTTATAAGCATTTAAACATCGAATTTTGACAGAATTTTTCAAAATCTCGAAAATTATTAATCGTTGGAATTAAAAAATTATAAAATGTTCAGTTTTTATAACTAAGAGTTGAAAATTTAAAACAAAGATTCTCTTAAATAATTCATACTGTAACCAAAAAATCTAAAAAATATATAAACACACTTATTTTTTACAGACATTTTAATTTCAAATATTCAAAATGTCATATTTAAACCAAGAATTACGATTTTAGTTATTTTGTTGTGATTGAATAATATTATTCGTGGGTACTTGAAACTTCTAAAGTGTACTATTATATATCTATGATAGTATCACGGTTTTTGTTGATGTATAACGCGTTATAAGTATCTAATGGATATTGTGATATGATTAGTTTGGAATTTATTATAGGTACCTATTATAGGTCAATTTTTTGCTTAATACCATAGATATGTATATAATATGTCTTATACATAGACCGACATACCGTCACCGCTCAGAATCGTTTTTCTTATACAATGATATTATATCATTGAATTCAAATTTAATACCATCCATTATACAGTGACCCACTTGTAACCTACTGTACAGCAGAGCGACACTCACTTGCCCACCTTTTTTTATATGTATTTAAAGTTCAAATTTTGACAAAATTTATCAAATTTAACATTTAATAATAATTTTGAAGTTAACAATTTATAAAATGTTTAACTTTTATAGCTAAGGATTGAAAATTTAAAACAAGATTCCACGTAAATAGGCTATATATAAATTACTTTATTTACCTTAATATCATCAAATATACTTCGTAATATCATTCGCTGACTGACCGTTTTCGCTCAGAATCGTTTTTCTTATACAATTATATAATATCATTGAATTAAAATTTAACACCATCCATTACAGTGACCCACTTGTAACCTATACTGTACAGCAGAGCGACTTTTTATATTTTATTTTTGAAACACCGGCCGTTTTGAGTATAAATTATTGCACAAGTTGGGTAACTTACGTTTACTGGAATTTATTTAGCTTTAAGCCTTTGTTACGGTTGTGGCCGAGCGGACAACCACGTCGGTTGTAACGTGAATCGTCGCCGGTTCGAATCCCGGCCATGGGCGGCATCGCTCTCTGGGCAGGCAACTTACCGTCTAGACGTTGAGACCACCATCCCCAACGGGGCATTGCAGAAACCTACGAGTGCTCTAATAAAAATTCTGACAAATAGGCGTCCGAACTAGGCTTTCTGCAGGCCTACTTCCGGACTTAGCGCAATACAAAAAAAAAAAATGGTTGTGGCTTGTTAGTAGATTTTGGTTTCAATATAAAAAGTACAGAGAAATAATAAGTAATTAATAATTGTATTCAATATGTATATTTTGCTATTAATTAAATTTTACATTATGTATTTCAGTAGACTGTAGTTGGTTATAATTTATTATGTATACCAATAATAATTAATATTACTATAATATTTTGTAATTTAATTTTCAAAAATACTAAAGTAGGTATACTTAAGTAGTTAGGTACCTAGATATAAAAAATAATGTATCTATGTATGCAATACATGTACATCCTTTATTTTTTTTTAAATACTGGACCTAAATTTCATTATAAGTATATATATATACAGTATCAATTGTAAATCTCCAGTAAAGTATATGGTACAATAACTAATAAGTAGGAATATATAAGCAGTGAAAAAAATATTCTAAAACTATACATATAGTATTTAACGTTTATACAATACCTAACAGGTTATTCCTTTACGAATTCGTCTTAAAATTACTTAAAAAAATTGTGAGATTTTTTTTTTAAATAATTTAATTGGGAGATTCATAATACAATGTGGTTCCTATAATGTTACATAATTTAGTGCCGACTGCCGAGTATACCAAAATGTCTACTAGTAGGTAGTTATTTTTTTAGACTTTTTTTTATAAGAAACATGTTTTTTGCGTACCTTATATTAACTACCTATATGTAATATAGACCGTAGTAAATTATGATTTCCATGTATATTTTTTTACTGGTAGCACTTACAAGACATAGATCATTTGTTGAATATAAAAACTGTACTTTATTGACCATAGTTCTTATGTATTTTTTTAAATGTATTTTTTTAGAACCGTAGAAAATAGTGTAAAGAAAAAACCTACAATCAATGGTCTAGTAAGTACAAGTCAATTTTAATAACAATTTAAAAGTTAAAAAATAATTAAATTTAAATATCTTTTTCAAAATAATTCGATTCTATTAGATTTTTCATTCATTGGTTTTGTATTTATAATTTATATATAAAGAGTTAGGTGAGGTTACGTTTTTGAAGTATGTATTGATGACGTGATGTAGTAAGAATTTAAACACACTATACAACAGTTGGCCCAGTCGGGTCTCCTCAGTCCTCAGCCACTCAGCTGGTCTCAGTGCAGCAGCAGACAGTTGTATGCTCCACCAGTTGCACCACTCACGTAATATTATTAAAAAACTGGTTTCAGTGGAATCTGTTTGACTGTTTATATTATAATATTACGTAACTATCACCACAACAATATTGTGAATATTACTTGACCTTCCTAACCTCTGAATTATAAATACAAGCACCAAGTTATTTTGATACACCACCATCCATATATTCCTACACAATATATATAATATATACAGTGGCGTATTTTGAAATTTTTTCTGGGGGGGGGGTCTAAATATTAGGTACCTACAAGTTTATAATATAAAAAAAACACATACGAGTTACGATGTAATAATTATATTATATTATATTTTTTCTGGGGGGGGTCCAGACCCGGGGACCCCCCCGTAAATACGCCACTGAATATATATATACAATATACGTATATAAGCCTAATATTACCTAAATGGTAGTCTTGTAAGGTATTCGAATAAATGTATTCTAATAAAAGTATTAAATGCTTTTTTTAGTCAAATAGTATTCTTAATATTTTTTGAAAAAAATAATCGAATACGTATTCTGAATTACTATAAAAAAAATAAAATAATAACTATAGTATTCGAATACTTTTTCGAGTATTCGAATATATTTTTTTTTAATGTATTCTAATACCTACGTATTTGGAATACAAAATAAAATTATTCTTTACAAGACTGCTAAATGTCTATATTACTAGAATCACGGACCTTTCGCCCCCGCCGTTTCGTCCCCGTCAAAAAAACCAGTCCACGGACGTTTCGTCCCCGGTATATTTTCATTAGGTTAGGTCCATTCGGTTCTCAGGTTATTAAATATTAATTACTTCAAAGTTCATTATTTTAATACATTTATTTTTAATGAACAATTCTGTAATGTCTAATATACAGTGTTGTAAAGTATTTGAGTAAAAGTATTCAAATACTTTTTTCCATATTGAATACTATTTTATTGAATACTTTTTTTTTCCTTTTAATTCTTAATTTGTTTCTACTTATAATTATTCTTGTTAAATAAAAATACCATGCCGTCGTGGTTTTACTTTAACATTATAACAATGTAATATTATATATTTATTTAGCTATTTTATTTTAAGAGCATTTGATACAGCAGAAAGTATTCAATACAGATGTGCAATGCGTCTGCAACGACTGCATTGGTACAAAAACAAAATGAAATAATAAATGTACCGAAAATAGTTAGTTTTAAGGAAAAGAAATTACAATCATAATAATATTATATTGTACGGGATTTCAATATAATGACGATAATTACATTTTATACTATTTAAAAAACATAAGTCAGTTACCTAAAAATAAATATATAATTTATCTTAATATTATAGTATTTAATTTTAATTTATTAATTTTTACTACAATTTGTGTTGACTTAATACAATATTGTGATTTAAATCTTGACTATTTGTAATTGTATTGTATGAATATTGATTATGTATTTGTATATTTTGTAGTATTGTCATTTAAAGATTAAATTGTTCATTAAAAATTAATGTATTTAGATTATCAAAGTATACCGGGGACCAAACGTCCTATATGGCTAATAACTCTCAGGGACGAAACGTCCTATCTCAATAATTGCCGGGGACGAAACGTCAGTGTACTGGTTTTTTTGACGGGGACGAAACGGCGGCGGCGAAACGTCCGTTTACCATATTACTATAATACTATATTACTATAATACTATATATTACTATGTAATACTTATACAGCCAAATTTTGAATTACTGGATATCGAGTTTAATTATATCCTACCTTATTAAATTACATTTATATTTTCAAGAAAATCATATCATATTATTATAGAACCTATAGAGCCATGTATATATTATTTAGTAATAATAATATGGAGCACATTATTAAATATTAACTTATTAGTATAATTATTCATTACTATAATTTTCTATAGGTATAGTATAAAGTATAATATACTCAATTTTAATTTTTAATTATTCAAATTTTGTATTATGAATGTTGAATTTTATTGGTTTATACATATCTATTTACTTTAAACTTCTAAATTGAATTATATTGTTTGTTAACTAATAGCTAACTTTAAGTTATAATTTAATCATCTCAATTTTTTTTTTTTAGTTTCGATATGCTAGCAAAGGTGATGTGGTTCTTATGTCTATTGGTGTTATATGCTCGGTTATTCATGGATCGAGTTTTCCTGTCTTGGCATTAGTATTTGGTCAAATGACCAATGTATTTATCAAGCAAGCATCGGTATGTCATGTATAATAAAAATATTTGTTGATAAAAGTATAAAATAACGATGTGTAACTGTGTAAGTACTATTTTATATTATGTAAAATGTAATAGATAGAAATAAATAGCACTATATTTATGTTTTTTTTATAAGGATGCCTACATAGTTGTTTGTATGTTTGTATGCTTAAAACTATTTAAATTATTATACTACAAAACGATAATAAGTTCAAAAAAGGGGAAAGTATGAAACCGCTCTGCTGTATAGTTGGCATTTAGTTCCGCTTTTGAAAACTTCTGGAAATTTTCCATTTTACCCCTCAATAAAAACACATTGTAAAATTAATACATTTATTTATTCCACTCGGATTCTAAAACGATCGTTAAGTATTTAATCAAAAAATAAGACATAGGTATAAACTTTCCAGCGAGAGAACGCACCGATTCTGTGCACCCCCCCGCGACTCGGTCCTATCGAAATCGGTTCCCTTATGGCAGGGTGTTGCGTGGGGGAACCAGTTTTGGTGGGTGCGCGGTGCGTTCTCTCTCTGGACAGACGGTATATATATAATATAGTATATAGACGGTATAATATAGTAGGTAGGTAGTAGTCTGTTAGGATTTTGGTTAGCTTGTCATAATAATAATAATATAATAATATTATAATACTAATATTTCATTTTTTTAAACAATGTTTAATATTTTATCAAGACTAGAATTCTATAAAATATGGTTACCAGAAATGTAATTCGGTCCAATCCCAAAATAAGGCGTTACTACTAGGCGTTATTATTAAATAACCGTTATTTAATTTAATAACCGAAGTTTTTCTTTAAAAGTTTAAAATTGAATTAGCCCGTGAAGTAGGTATATAAGCTTCTAGCAGACACGTAGGTATACACAACAAAAAATTCTGGGGCGTGCTCACGGAGGGGGGGGGGTGTCATATCCCCCCCATGAACTTTTTTTTATGCGTAATTTATAGTTCTTCGATAATTTCGGTTTACTAAAAAAAAATGTAGTGTTTGTATCTGTTCATCCCACCCCCCATAGGAAAAAGCTGAGCACGCCACTGACCTTCCATGTATGTAGTATTATAGTATTTATGTGCCTGGCTTCTAGCATATCTTGTATAATAGTGACTACTGTGTAGCACGGTAGTCGTACATTAATATAGCCAATAGACATAAAGAGGTTGCTTGCATTATCTATATTTTCCTACAGGTTACTTCTACTGTAAATAACTCAATGGTCAATATACCGTTGACAGTGGTTGGAAATGCCTTAGATCTCATACATACTAATCCATTTAACTCAACATCTAATTATACAAATATTCTTCGCTCAAGTGATGTATCAACTAATTCACCCTTAAATGATGAAAGTTCTACATTTGGTGCATTCTTTATGTCTGAAATGGAGAGAATGAGTACTGTTAGAACTATTACAGAAATCGATTTGAGGTAAGTTGAATAAAGGTATAATAACTTATTTATCAATTTCATTATTATTATTTCAACATACTTTTTTATCTTAGAAAAACAACAGATATTCCAAATCTATTCAGTGATGACACGTTAAGTCCTGAAGAATTTTATAACGATATGACTAAATTTTCGTTGTATTACTTGTACATTGGATGCATAGTATTAATTGCTGCATTCATACAAGTAAGATATTTTTTGAACAATTATAAATGTAGGTACCTAGTGTATATTATGTCGTATTATTTAGACATTTGGTTATAAATACTGAAAGTAATTATACATTTTTAATCAATATTAATCCAATATTAAATAATGAACAATTATAATAATTAATTTTTTAGACTTTTTGTTGGGAGATCGCTTGTGAAAGACAAATTTACCAATTACGTAAGGTATTTTATTGTCAAATCCTTAGACAAGAAATTAGTTGGTATGACTTAAGTGATGGCGGAGACTTGACAACAAAATTATCAGAGTGTGAAATTACAATTAATACCTAGCTAATATATTAATAATTAAATTTTATAATAATGTATTTTTTCCTTAGTGATTTGGAAAGAGTTCGTGAAGGTATTGGCAGTAAATTCAGTATGATTACTCAATACGTAAGCACTCTTTTCACTGGTATAGTAATTGGTCTTTGTGTCGATTGGAGATTAACATCGATCATACTTTGTGTCACGCCATTTTTAGTTGCAGTTTCTGGAGCTCTAGCTATTGTAAAGTGTTTGATTTAAACTTTGAAATAGTGTTTGAATAGTTTTTTTTAGGTTTCAGCGAGTACAGCCGCTAGAGAGCAAATGAAATATGATTTAGCTGGAGGTATAGCTAAAGAGGTCCTATTAAATATTCGGACAGTAGCAGCATTTGGAGGAGAACTTAAAGAATCTAAAAAGTAGGTTAAATATAAAATTAAAGAAATATTCTTATAAGAATTTAAATATAAACCAATGTTATAGATATGAGTTGGCTATAGAAGAAGGTCGAAAATTAGTCATGAAAAAATACTATATATTCTCAATATTATTGGGTTCTGTATTTGTGTTAATGTATTCAGCATATGGAATAGCATTCTGGTATGGATCTAATTTAATTGTTGATGGAATTTCATCACCTGGGAGCATTTTCACGGTACCTAGTTCAAAAATGAATCAATAATATTGCTTAACTTAAATTTTAATACCTACTATAATAATAATGTACACCAGGTATTCTTTAGTGTAATGGCTGGGGCTTTTTCTGTGGGAAATGCTTTACCATTTATAAATTCAGTATGCATAGCGATTGGTGCAGCATCAAATGTATTTGATATAATTGATAGTAAACCAAACATTGATCCTTATTCATCACAAGGAAAGAAAATTAATAAAATTCAAGGAAAAATTGAATTTAAAAATGTAAACTTTGCATATCCAACAAGATATTCTATACCAGTAAGCTATACTGTCATAGATATTAATAAAACAAATTATTTATTGTTAATTGTTAAATTAAAGGTTTTGAATAACTTATCATTAACAATCGAACCAGGCCAAACTGTAGCATTGGTAGGTTCTAGTGGAGGTGGTAAAAGCACAGTTGGAAGTTTGTTACTGCGTTTTTATGATCCCACAGAAGGCCAAGTAAGTAAAATTGTATTCCTTCAAGTATATAACACTAAAGTAATACCTAATGATAAATTATTTTCTTTAGGTATTGTTGGACGATTTTGATTTAAAATATTTAAATTTACATTGGCTTCGTCAAAACATTGGAGTTGTATCCCAAGAACCAGTATTATTTAATGTTTCTATTGCTGAAAACATCAGATATGGTCAAACAGATTGTACTCGACAAGATATTATAGCTGCTGCAATGACAGCAAATGCCCATAGTTTCATCATAAAATTACCCAAGGTTAAAAATGTGTACATTTTAATCTAATAATATTACTTTCCGAACAATCTGGATATAATATTATAAACAAAACTTGTGCAGGGTTATGATACATTAGTTGGAGATAAAGGTTCTCAACTTTCTGGTGGTCAGAAACAAAGAATTGCCATTGCAAGAGCTTTGGTCAAAGATCCAAAAATATTATTATTGGACGAAGCTACTTCAGCACTAGATGCACAAAGTGAAGGCATAGTACAAGAAGCCTTAGATAAAGCTCAACAATATAGAAGCACTATTATTATTGCTCATAGACTGTCTACAATAAGAAATGTTGATGTTATTTTTGTTTTACAAGTATGTATTAGATTTAATTACATAAATTTATACAATTTTATGATACAGTTATAATTACCTATAATCTTTATTTTGTAGAATGGAAGTGTAGTAGAATCTGGAACACACGACTTCTTGATGTCAAAGAATGGTCTGTATTCAAATTTATTTAACACCCAAGTGAAACGGGAAAATAATGAAATTAATGGAGACTCTTTAGAATCTGATGAAGATATTATAGATGATAAAAAAAAAAAAACAGAATATGTTACACCATCAACAAGTCAATCTAAGAATAAACAAATTAGTTTAAAAGTAAGTACCTATTACTGAGTATAAATAGCAAGAAGGTATGTGTTTAATTTTTTAGTCTTAATATATTTTTATTATTTTCTTAAATTTTAAATTAGAATCCAGAACTTGAATCTTACGGTGAAGTTTATGATGTAGCCTATGAAAATATTGAGTATATACATAATAAATAATGATACATTTATAGTAATTTAAATTTTTACAATAATTAATTTACTTTAGGGACCACACTATAATTGATAGTATTAATACTGAAATCACAACAAAAAAGGTATCAGTTTTAGAAAAATGCATTGAACCTGAGAAAGTATTTACAGATAGTTTTATCACTGAAAATAGTGATGGCCGTAAAGTAAATGTTACTAGAAAAATATCTTCACGTAAAGTAAAACGAATCATTTATTTAGAACAAGTATGTTACTTTTTTCAAAATATTAAATAAAATATTAACTTTTACCAGTTTTATATGAGTAGGGAAGTACAGATAGCGAGTTAGAAACAAATGATTATCGTCCAAGTAATTTAAGAGGAAGTACTTCAATAAGACCAATGAGTCAACCTGATGATTATTCTCAGTAACTATCCACTGCATAGTCATTAGGTTTAACATTTTAATAATTAATTGTTGTCTTCTAAATATATTAGATGGGAAACTTCAGACATAGAATTAAATCGAAATACAGAATTTGCCATGATTTCTAAAAATGGTTATCAATTTAACAAGCAACCTATGGTAACACAAATCAAATAAAGTATTCATGTTATAAATGTACAATGTTGGGCAAATTATTTAATTTTTTTTAAATCTTTTAAGTTAAGTTGAAAATTTAATGATAATTTTACTTTGAACCTATATGTCTTACAAGTTAAATAGAAAGAAATTAAATCAAACATCTATTGAATTTTGTTTTTTTTTAACTGATCAATATTTACAATTGATGCTGATATTATAATCTAGCTAGAAATTTGCTAGATTAAACCGGTGGTAAAAATAATGAACCGGGATGTTTGGACCATATCATTTACATGGTTCATTATCCCGGTGTGGGATAATTTTAAACCGGTCTAGTTTAGCCAATTTCTAGTATGTATACAAAAATAAAAATATATATTAAAAATAATATATAATATAAGTCACGATAAGTGTAATAATTGACAGAACATATAATAGAAAAGGAGGCAATAACAGAATCTCTACTAACAAAAGTTTTTGATTTATATTTTTATTTTTGAGAGATCACAGCACCAATGACTATTTAAACTTTGAACTGGGTTTTCTAGTAATGCTGTTGTTGAGGGGTATGATAATAATGTGTTGTGAAGAGATTGTAATTTTCTATGTAAATTTATATTAAGTTGTATTTATATATACATTATTTGTAACTTAACTTTTTAACACATTAATGCCCAGCTTTGACTATATATTATATACTTAATAAGCTTTGTATTTGAAAATGATTATAATGAATGAAATACATATACATAATATGTTTTATAAATTCATTTTCAGTCTGAAATTGAAAATGTTTGCATGAAGGACATACTTAAATTCAACCGTCCAGAATGGCCATGGTTGATGATGGGTTTCATAGGTTGTGCTTTAACCGGTACCATAATGCCAGTGTTTGCTATTTTTTATGGTCAAGTCTTTGCTGTTAGTATAAAATCAATCTGTAGTCTAATTAAATTTTTATGTATTAGTTTATTTCTATTTATTTTAGACATTTACACTTAAAGGCGATGAGCTATTACAAGAAGCAGCTTTTTGGTCAAAAATGTTTATCATATTGGCTTTACTATCTGGATTAGCATGGTGGATGCAGGTAAAAAAAAATTAAATTTACAATATTACAATATTAATTTTAATAAATTATTTTTTAAAGACCTTCGGATTTACCCATGCTTGTGAAAAGCTCATTATGCGCATGAGAGTATATGCGTTTGAAAATGTGTTACGTCAACCTATATTTTGGTTTGATTTTAAAAGTTCATCACCCAGTAATATCATCAGTAGATTAGCTAGAGAAACTCCACTTGTGAAATCTGCAAGTACAGTTACAAACTAAAAAATTTAAAATTGTCTAAGTTTTTTTGAATTATAGGCTGGTAGTTTAAGAGTTGCTCAAGTAATATCAGCATTTGTAACACTGTCAGCTGCACTAATTATTGCTTTTACGTTTGGCTGGAAATTTGCTGTAGTACTAGTCATTGGTGTACCAATAATTGCTGGTGCTGCTTATAAACAATTAATGATTGTACAAAAAAGCCAAAAAAAAGATTTTGAATATATGGATGAAGCTGCCAGGGTGAGAAAAATAAGCAATTACAAGTTGTATACAAAGATCAATATTTTACTTAATGATTATACTATTTTGCAAATTAGGAAGATAATATAATATACTTTAAAGTACAATCAATATTTTTCTGATTTATTTAACTTTCATGATCTCATTTTTATGAATCTAACTTACAGCTTATGAATTCATTTTAGATTAAATCTGAAACTATTTCAAGTATAAAAACAGTTCAAGGCTTAGCACAGGAGCTAATGTTTATATCAAAGTATGAAAATAGTTTGAATGATCCATTTAAAAATGCTAAAAAACAGGCATTTTCGTTTGCAATTATGTATGCCGTTTCGCAGGCAGTTATTTATGGAATGTATTCAGTTTCATTTAAATATGGAGCATTTCTTGTAGAAATTGGAGATATGTCAGCCACAGATATTTATAGGTAATAATATACAGATAATATGCCAAATATATATTATTGCATTTTCTATTTAAATTAATTTATTAGGGTGTTCTTTGCATTGGCATTTTGTGCTGCCTCTGTTGGTCAAACATCAGCTTATCTTCAAGATTATTCTAGAGCTAAGGTTGCAGCATCTCTCATTTTTAAACTAATTAAGAGAAAATCGGAGATCGACCCTCTATCAAATACAGGATCTAAACCAGTAAAACTATATCACATTACAATTTTAGATCAATACAACATTTAATACATTTAATGTACAATACAGACAATTAAAGGAAAAGTCCACTTTAAAGATGTCAAATTCGAGTATCCTTCTAGACCAAATGTACGTGTATTGCGAGGCCTTAACTTGATAGTTGAACCAGGCAAGACATTGGCAATAGTTGGCGAATCTGGATCTGGCAAAAGCACCATACTACACTTACTTGAACGGTTCTATGATCCATCAATAGGAGTGATTGTACGTGTTTAATTTGTATATAATAATTGATTTATACTAAATTACTATCAATATTAAAATTGTATATGTACCATATATTGAAGCATACATTTTGTTTAGGAAGTTGATAATCATGATATACAAGCAATGAATTTATGCCATTTAAGACAAAATATTGGAATTGTTACTCAAGAGCAAACATTGTTTAAAAATTCCATTAAAGATAACATAGCATATGGTGTATCCAACAGAGAGGTCCCCATGGATGAAATAATTGATGCAGCTAAAAAAGCAAATATTCATAATTATATTACAACTCTAGCTCAAGTAAACCATGAACAATATTTTGAAGCAACACAATTTTTTAATATTAAATTTAATTCCTATTTTTAGAGATATGATACATTGGTTGGAGATCAAGGAAGTCAGCTGTCTGAAGGACAAAAACAGCGAGTAGCCATTGCACGGGCATTAATAAGAAATCCTAAAATACTTTTGTTGGATGAAGCTACAAGAGAATTGGATAAGGAAAATGAAGTAGTAAGTTGATTATATGGAAAAGTTGTAAGCACATTAATTTCTATCACAGTTTAATGTTTCAAGCTCTTGCAAGGAGCATTGGAGGCAGCTTGTAAAGGTCGCACTTGCATTATTATTGCTAATCGTCTTTCTACAATTCAACTAGCTGATTCTATTGCTGTAGTTCACAATGGTAAAATTGTTGAACAAGGTAACCACGAAGAACTGAAAGCTAAAAAGAAGTATTATTACGAGTTAATTACACGCCAAGAAGAATCATCTAATCAACTTCAGCTCTAAAAACATACATTTCAATTAATTGATAATATGATCTAAGAAATTTATATATTATTTTAACTGGTATGCTTTTAAAGTTGTTATTATTGAATATTGTGTTTTATAAATTATAAATTGTATTTTTTATACAGTCAACTCGCGATATAACGAACTTCAAGGGACCGAGAAAAAAATTCGTTATATCGAAAGTTTGTTACATCGAAATTATATTATACCGCGATATTTTCAAGGGACCGGTAGTTTTATTCGTTATATCAAGATTTTCGTTATATCGATATTCGTTATATCGCGAGTTGACTGTATTTCGATTATGGGTTTATAAATAGTGCAGGTACCACCTACTTAATAATTTATGTCTCTTCAAGGAATCTTAAACAACATATTTTCAAGAAAAATTAAAGCTTGTCAGTTAAAAAATATTATAAAATTGAAATGTAGTGGTTAAGTGCTCAAGTAAATTAACATTTGATCTACTATTAATTAACTTATATTAAATTTATGTCAGTTATACTAATAGTTGGTTGTGATTGCAAAATTATACATAAAAACAGTTTTGCACAAACCAACACTCTTCAATAATTATTTATAATTATATTTTTTGAATAAAAGAAACTACCCGTAAAACCTTGAGGTTGTAAATTATTTCAATAATATAATTAAATGTGAATCTTAAAACAATACTCTATAACTCTATATATTATAATATACTAAAACAATATTCTACCTTATAATATGTTGTTTTAATAAATTGCTGTATTATAAGGTAGAATTATTTAGTGTTATCTACATCTTCATATAAAATTTTTTTATAATTTTAATACAAATATGGTCTTTTATTACAAATGTACAGTTAACCACTAATAACTACTAACTAGTGACTAAATAAAGCAACACCTGATGCATAACCAAATATTATTTAATTAAAATAATATTTTTGGTTAATTAATAAAAATGTATTGATACAAATTTTAATTTATTACTTTTATTTGGACATACCTAACTATGATCAATAATACCAAAAAAGGCAATACACACTGTTGTGGTGGGACTTTCATAATTAAATAACACACACAAGATCTACAAAATATTTACTTGAATTTAGCCGATACACATAATTTCAAATTCAATTTGCTAAATTAAAGTAAATATTTTGTACACGTAATAGATCAAGCTATTTATTATTTTATTATAAAATAATCTCAATTAAAAAATATTGTATATTGCAATACACATTATATTGTTAAATATAAAGACGTATTATATTTATAAGAATATTATACAAAATATATCATTGTAAGTTGGGAGCCATATAATAAAAATATCACGAGTCTCTAGTTCACTACCATAATCTTTTAATTGTAATTCATAAGATTACAATATTTCCGATTGGCCAAGCGCCAGTTCATTATTGCCCGGGTTAGGTCAATTTTCCAGCAAGATAAATAAATGTAAACATTTTAAAATTAGTTTCTACTAGTATTTTTCACACGCAAAACGTGATCTGCAGAGTATACATTTGCCATGTTACGGATTTGTGAGACAGAGACAACAAATGCCCGTGTACATTCACTTAAGAAATTGCCCACTTATTTTCCCAATAAATTTCATTAGTAAATCATCTTTGCTGGTATAAATTCACCAGAGCTAGTATAGACGTAAAGTTATAGATGATTATTATCAGTTGGTAGTCAAAGTCATAACAAATCTATATTATATTAAAGGGGTAGTAATTTTAGAATCTGTAACTTAAATAATTAAATTAAACATACTCTTACATAGTACATACTGATGTCTAGTATAGATGCTATTGCTTATCTATAATTTTGGCATTGTCTTGTCATTCATTTGCCATAAAATTACAAGTATCAACCATTGTCTATAAAAATATTAAATACAAGGTTTTAAATGGGAAAAAAATAATTTTTAAGAAAATCCAATTTTACAGTTATGTAGTATTCTCGTATTTAATAGAAAAAACTTGTAGCAATTTAGGTACATACAACATTTTTTTGGTATATTCAATAACTGACATTATAATGAGATTGAAGTATAACATTAAACAAAGTTAGTAAATACGAATAGTCACAAATAATTAAATTAAATTAAATATTTAAACATAATCATAAACTTTTATTAAGTAAAGGAAGTTCTGAGGATCATGAACATTTGTCAAATCACTATGAATAAATTGTATACTGCTTATGGTCAACCTACATTATTACATTATAGTTGGTGTATTTATACCTACTAAATGGTCAACGAGAAAAAAAAAACAGCCTCACAGTAATATTATTTTAAAACATTCCATTAATTTCATACTGTTTATTGACGTTGATTGGCTTGGCATCTGAGTAATACGTAAATCTTTTCTTTTATCCAGTCTTTGTTATAAGGGGCATATGTCATTGTACTTTTTTGGTACCTAAACATAATTTACAATTCATAAAAATTGAATTAATTAACTTGCTATATAGGTAAAGAAATATTATTGACATACACAAGACATGAAAGATCTGCTAAATGGTCAACAAATTCAAACAGCTGAGTTATGTCATACGTAATAGACACAGACTTTGGATTTAATTTCTTTAGATGTTCTTCATAGATCTTACAAACCCCTAAAACAATGAGACTTTAAATGTTTATTCATCAAAGCAAGGACATTAATTTACCTTCCATGCAATCATTAACAGACTCGTAATCGGAATATGTTCTTGTTTCCGGTTTGTTCCCTGGTTGGATCAAGAGTATGGTGTGAGACTGTAAAATAATACAATTGGAAGTGATTAATATTTATCAAGAGCATAAAATTTTTAAATAAAATCAATGTTCAGTACCATTTTGTAGCTTTTAGATTAGGTAAAGACAGACAATACAACTAACGGACACGACACAAAATACGATTAGACAAGTCGGCGTAATTTATCACTTAGCCTTGTGGCTTGCAGTTTGCACTAATTCAGTACGACAGATGATTGAAAAATGAAAATTGAAATATTGAATGCAACAGGAACGAATTTGGTTTCGTAATGTATAATATTACTATACTTATAATAATATTTGTGATATAGATGTAAAATCAATATTTGCTTGGTTTATAACATTTTCAATTCCATTGTTTTTAAACATAATAACCCAACTAACCACTGTAACCACCAGATATTTTTATTTCTTTAAAATTTGTTTTTTGCATTAAAATTAAATAATATAAAATATGCCATTATGCCGAATTTAATTAAAACATTAATTTTTTCTATATTTTCGTTGGAGTATTAAAAAAAATTTTACTCAAGTGAAATTATTTGATTATTATTATTCCAGATGCATGAGAACCGTAAACAATAAGAATATGTTTATCTATGGTTTATCCAACCCATGGTTAATCTACACAGACTTCTATACTACACTAGATAAGGAACTCTTATACAATGTACATTGTTACAAATGAAGCTCAGCTGTGAACGGCCGCCATTTTCTCGGTTGGCAAAACATTTCATTTATTATACAAAATGTATTAGGAATAATATTTTTTTAACGGTCAAATAAAATAGTAAATGTAAAATGACTTATATAAAATATTTTTTTTTTTTGTAAACTTAATGTTTAAAAATAATAAAATACGATATAAAATAAATCATAATATCATCTTATTTGTCATATGAAATACCATACAATTGCCAACCGACCTTGAAGCTTCAATCATGACCGGAGTTCGCTATCTAGTAATATATTAGAAATCTGTGTTAATCTATGATCCAACCATGATTGATAAGATCGTTCGATGATAAAAGATAACCACATTCTGCAGCTATAGATAATGATTTTTTACGAATGATGTTTTGAGGTTAATTGTACGTTTTTTAGAATAGTAAATTTCTCTGGCAGTCGGATCTGAAATCTGAATCTCCGACTCTGTCAGTGACTGTCACTGATGCTCGTAAAATCATAACTCACTTACTCAGTAGTCAGTACTAACTACTCGGACCGGTAGTCAGGGGTAGTCCTATTGCTCCTATTCCGGATAAGACGTTTATTAACACATTATTAATTTAGATTTCATTCAATTTTGAAAATATTTAATACTCTTATAAGTTGAAATAGTTCTTAAGGATGACGACAATCTAGACAGGATTCGGCCATCGAGGCTGAGGTAGTATGACTATTTTTTTTATCTACATAATACTACTAACCATTTTACTTAGATGGCAGAACTCAAAGAACAAAGCCCCGAACAGCTGGACATTTAGGTTTGCTGAAAGCTCGAATCGACAAAATTCGACGAGAAATCATACGCCTAAAGGCGGTTGGTGGAGGTACGGTTAAGTTTTGATTGTAGCTAAAAATGGAGATGCTAGAATGGTTTTGTACGGTAAGATGCAATTACTCTATTTCAAGAATGATTAAGATTTTATTACATTTGTTCCTTAGGTTTTCCTTCTGTTGGTAAATCAACACTGTTGAGTAATCTAGCTGGTGTTTATTCAGAAGTTGCTGCATATGAGTTCACAACTTTGACCACAGTTCCTGGATGTATTAAATACAAAGGGGCTAAAATCCAAGTAATTAATAGTCTTAGGTACTTTGAGTGTAGAATAAACATAGTCTGAGCAGAAAAAATGAATCTATTTATTTTAGAATATCTACACATTGACTTTTGTTATACCTACTTGTTAAAAGAAAAAATAATTGTTTTTAATTTTTTGTCTTAAGTGGATTAACTAGTAAATAATAGGTAACAATTAATTTAAATTATTCTCTGACAAACACAAAATATGAATACAAATTTAAACTACAATCTAGTGGTTTTAAATTTGTATTAAAAATCTTGATGTGTCAATTTATCAACCTTCATGAATTTTATTAATAATTTCAATCATAATCCTTTCATTTTCAAAAAAACATCAGATGTGATATTTACCTTCTGTTTTATATTTATTGATAGCTTTTAGATTTACCTGGTATCATTGAAGGTGCTAAGGATGGTAAAGGTCGTGGACGACAAGTAATTGCTGTGGCTCGCACATGTTCATTGATTTTCATTGTTTTGGATGTTCTTAAACCATTAAAACATAAAAAATTAATTGAACATGAATTGGAAGGATTTGGATTAAGACTTAATAAATCGCCACCAAATATAGTTTATCGACGAAAGGATAAGGGTGGAATAAATTTACAAACCATGGTAATAAACATTTTTAAAAGCAATTTTTACTTGGATTTTTAATTTTCGATTTGTTTAAACAGGTACCGCAAAGTGAATTGGATTTAGATACTGTAAGAACAATATTATCAGAGTATAGAATTCACAACGCTGATATTACTCTTAGATATGATGCCACATCTGATGATCTTATTGATGTTGTTGAAGGAAACCGCATATATTTGCCTTGTATCTATATACTTAACAAAATTGGTTTGTATTTTATTTCTTTAATATTAATTTATTGACAACATATAAATTACCGAAACTATATTAGATTTAATAACTATTTATTTTATTTTTGTTTGGTTGTAGATCAAATAAGCATAGAAGAATTGGATATTATTTATAAAATACCTCATACAGTACCTATAAGTGCTCACCATAAATGGAATTTTGACGACCTTTTAGAAAAGATGTGGGAATATTTGAAACTAGTTAGAATGTAAGTAATATACATAAGTTTTTATACTTAGTTTATACCAGTGGTGTAACTAAAAAGAAATATTCTATTTCCAATTAAAATTATAGCTTGCCATTTAAGACGTAAAAACATTAGTGTTAGAAAATAAATGTGTACAACACAAATATTAACTGAGAAAATATACGTTATTGAGTTATAACTTATAACAAATAATAATATATGCTATTGCATATTTGCCATGACTAAATAAATAGGTATGATCTCCACAACGTTGTGGTAAGCATACCAACCTTGCCACGTCTATCGCATAGTTCTCCACACCTATAATATTCTATTGATATTGCCGACCAATAAAATGAGGAGAACTACAAGTATTGGTTTTGTGTATAGAATAGTGAGGAAATGCGCAAACCGGATTAACACTTGTTTTTGTAATCATACCTATTTATTAAGTCATGATATTTGCATTGATGAGAATCAAGGGAGGACTGGGTTATGTTTCAAGGAGGTTTGGTTAGATTTAACATCTATCTCAATGAATAAAAACGAAATAATTAAATATCCATTAAAAAGGAATCTATAGAATATTTTCTTAGTAAAAATCTAGAAGTAGTAAACATTCTTACTGAAAAAAATTACTAATTTTCCATGAGCTTATGTGTGAATTAAATTTCCTGCCATTAATTAAAAATAAATTATAATCTTAAAGGAGTGCACGCTTTAAATTGTTATGTGCATTTGAACTTCAAATTTTGACAATATTGGATATTAACTCGAATTTCTCGTTTAACGATTTTTTTATTTTATTGTAATATAAAAACAAATAACTGTAGATACTTAAAATTTGCATCCTTTGTTTATTTATTTTTTTGTTTAATTTTCAAAATATTGTGACTTGTTTGGTGCATTATGGATAATTTCAAATTTCAATTTTTTAGTTTTTTTTCTATACATGTTAATAAAATTGTATGATAAAAAAGTCTGAAATTGTAATGCAAGGAATCTGATATATTGTTACAATAGCAGTTGAAAAATATTAAAAATACATAGGCACAAATTTTTTTATAAGTATTTAAAGTTCAAAATAATTTTTTGATTTTTTTTGATAATTATTATCAAATTTAAAATTTAAAAATGTTTAACTTTATAGCGAAAAATTGAAAATTTAAAACAGGGTTCCACGTATATCGGTAAATAAATTACTTTATTCACAATAATATCATCAAATATACACTTGGTAATATCAAAGGCTTGCCGACCGTTTTCGCTCAGAATTGTTTTTCGTATACAATGATATAATATCATTGAATTCAAATTTTACACCATCCATTACAGTGACCCACTTGTAACCTACTGTACAGCAGTTGTTTTAAGTTTTTAATAATTATTATAGATTGAAACTTTTATACTATTTTGAAATTAAAACAATAAAAAATCATAAATTAAGATAAGGCTAGTGGTATTTCCAGTATACGGTAACCGGTATATTTAGTATTTGGGAGTACCAGTCTACCGTGAATTGGTAATTACCGTTGTCACCGAAAATACCATGTCAGAGTCATTACTGAAAATACTCGATTTAAGGGGCACTAGTCAGTGGTGGTCCGTATTATACTTGGAAAATCTTTATTTTTAGTGTAGCATTCAATATAATATAATGTAATATATATATAATGTCTGTAGTCTTACTTTTTTAAAGTAACACTGCAGAAAGGTTAGACATCTGATCTAGGACTTTTTTTATTGTTTGCCCCTTTCTATATTTTTTTAACTCTTAGTTACCATTGCTAACATTAACTTAAGTAACCACTAATTACTATTTTTATTTTACTAAATATATAATCTTTTATACTAAATTATTAATTTCATTTTCTTTAATATTTTGTAAAAAAATAAATTTATTTGTTAACTTATATAATTATATATATTATACATCAATAACTTATAATAATTTGTTATTTGTATTTAATTATCTAGTTACACCAAGCCTAAAGGACAGTTACCAGATTACGGATCTCCAATTGTTTTACATAATGAAAGGAAAAGTATTGAAGATTTCTGTAATAAACTTCATCGTACCATCGCCAAAGAATTTAAATAGTAAGGCAATACTATTAAAAGAATGTTTTATTATTATTTATTATTTATGCATATGTTTAGTGCTCTGGTTTGGGGATCATCTGTTAAACACGTACCTCAAAAAGTTGGAAAAGACCATGAACTAGAAGATGAAGACGTTGTACAGATTGTTAAAAAAATATAACTATAATATGTCTAGTACATATTTTTAATTTAACAATAATAAAATCGTTATTTTTTTATCATCTACATATATTATCACTATCCTTGACCTTCTTATTTTTTCAACTCTATTAGTTGATAGTTCTCTGTCACATGCCATTAGATTAGAATCATGTTGAAAAGAAATTAAAAAAACACATCATTGTAAAATCGATATATTTTTCGCTCCACTCAGAATCTAAATGAATTATGATTGAAAAAATAATAATTGCTCAGTGGTTTTTATTTATGTCACGATACAGTGGTGTTTGCATGGGGGGTGCTAACGGGCTATTATTATTACTTTAAAAAAAATATTGATCATGTTTCAAATGTCAACTATATAAATTTCATATACGTCTTACCAGAATGAATTTATTTTTGAAAAAACGTATTTGCATACCAATTTTCCTAAAATTTTCTTTAATCTTTTGGTAAATTTATGAACAACTTGTATGGAAGACCTTGTATTAAATTGTCTAGCCTTAGCTATACACATTTAATATTTTTTAAGTGTTGAAATTAACTGTGGTTTTGACGAAATTTGAACTTTAAAATATGCTTATAAAAAATAACCATGATGCCTATCTATTGTAAATATTTTAGCTATACTTAATACAAATTTACATTTTTACATTTTGAATCTTTTTGACCGGATAAATAATTTTTTATAGACATTTATAGAAAACAAAAATTTTAATAAATGAAATACAATCCAAGTGAGGACGATATAACGAAGCTGGTTACCAAACAATTTTAATACTTTTTCATTTTTTTCTCCAATTATTTTAAAAAGCACTGAGCATTTTCAATTTTAACCTCCTAAAAGTACCAACTAGATCCAATTTGCTTCCAAAAACATACATCGGGCATCGAAGTTTATGATCAGAGCATTTTTTCTACCAGAAAAGTTGAGGAGTTACAAACATTTTAAAATATCACAAATAAACGTCTGAAATTATTAGACTGGACAAAATAAAAATAAAATTGTAACTAATTTTCAAGCCCCTCTCCATTGAAAAATCCTGTTTTCGCCACTGTCACGATAGTACTATGCTCCCCCTCAACAACTAAAATGTACCTTGGTGACCTGGCCTAAATACATCACTGGTCACAAATCACAATTCACAGCGGTTTAAAATGATTTTTCATTTAATTCTACTATTTATAGAACAAGAAATGGTATCAAATATTGAAATATTAATCTATAATTTAGATTTAGTAATAAACGAAACCTTTTTTTTTATCAAATTTAACCATTAGTTACTGTTACGTGGTACCTATCTGGCAGTTACGTTTCCGTCTATAAATTGAGAAAGTGGGCATTAATAAGCTTTATACAGTTATACTATGAAGTACAAACTTTGTTTTAGTGTTCTTCATTCATAGGCTTGCGCAGACCCTATAATTAGGTTGTGCCTATGTATTATCATCGGCCCTATGGCCTTAGTCAATCGTTAAATAATAAATACAACACATCTAAATTGTATATACGATATACCTATTGAATATTAATAATTAAATATATGGTTTTTATGTTTTTGTTTAAGTTATTGTACATTTAAAAACTATTTGATTTTAGATTCTGAGTGGAACGATGAATGTATTGATTTTACAATGATGTGTGTTTTATTTTATTTGTGTCTGTGTACACGATAAGTAGTCGAAATTTTTTATAAACATTTAAAGTTCAAAAATTGACAAAATATGGAAAAATCACGAAAATTAGCAAATTATTTTGAGTTAAGAATTCGTAAAGATTTTTCTTTTTAAATCTAAGATTTGAAAATGAAGTCAAGATTCCCCATACATTTTCAAAAAAAAAATGTCTACAAGAAAGTCAAATTAAATTTTTATGATTGTTTGAAATTCATATTTTTACAACATTTTATATTCACTCGATTTGTTATGTAGGTAACGATTTTCTTATTTTGTTGTAATTAAAAAACGAATGACTGTAGAGTGTAGATACTAGAAAATTTCACTGAATGTTTATATTAGCATTTCCTATACACCATAAAAATGAAAATATGAAAATAATTTGACTCTATTTAAGTTGTTTACGGACATTGTCAGTTTTCAATTTTTTTAGTTTTTTTTTCTATAAATATCAATAAAGTTTTATCTGATGGGCCAAAAAGTGTAAAAATATAATACAAGGCTCCTGATATATTGTTACAATAGCAGTTGAAAAGTATTAAAAATACATAGGCACAATTTTTTTACAAGCATTAAAAGTTCAAATTTTGATAAAATTTATCAAATTAAAAAATTTATAATTATTTTGTAGCTTAAAATGTATTAAATGTTCAACTTTTATAGTTATAAGGATTGAAAATTTAAAATGCGGTTCCACGTAAATAGGTTATATATACCTAAATGACTTTATTCACAATAATATCATCAAATATACTTAGTAATATCAATGGTACCTACCTATCATAGGCTGACAGACCGTTTTAGCGTTTTAGCTCAGAATCCTTTTTCTTATACAATGATATTATATCATTGAATTCAAATTTAACACCATCCATTACAATGACCCACTAGTAAATTACTGTACACTGTACAGCAGAGCAACATCCACTTACCCACCTTTTTTGGATTAACGTTATTATATTTTTAAACATTATTTTAATTTTTGTTTTAATAAATTCTGAGAAGTAATTAATAATTAATATTTGATGGATTATATCACTTTTAAGTTTAAAGTTTTAATTTCCAACTATTAAGGACGCTCCACACTATGCATGTTTCGCGTTTCATGTTTTCAAGTTTTCGTAGAATTTCGTGAATACCTAGTGTGTATAGCTTTTTCACAACATTTTTTTTCGTGAAAACGGTTTAGTAGTGTTTCGCGAACGAGACGGTAAAATTGACGAAATCAAAGGACACGAAAATATTTTTCGTACTGTTTCGTGTCGTTTCGTTCTATTTTGTTGTTTTTCGTGTAGTTTGGCGTTTCTCATGTAAACAGGAAGTTCGTATCACTTGATTATAATTCATAAATAAAATTAGATATTTGTAGGTAAATGGATGTTATCAAATATCATAATATGGAATTACGTAATTTCGTTACAAATTTAGTTCGTCAATTAGTTGTCACCATGGCGTCCGAGTGGAATGATGAACTATAGTGCTCACATTTATTGACGAGTTTAAAAAGTACCGGTGTTTGTGGGATCCAAAAGATACAGACCGTAAATCGAAAAATAAAAAAAATGATGCGTATCACAAATTAGGTTTACAATTTAAAAAACCAAAAGAAGAAATAAAAAAAAATTAACAATTTAATCCAGAGTTATAGAGGATATCGACGAAAAATAAAAACAACGAAAGTTTCTGGTGCTGGAAGAAAAGATGTATTTAAGCCATCGTGGTTTGCATTTGACACACCACACGGAACTATAGATACAATGGTAAGTGAATTAATTGTAAATTATTCTGTGGCCAAAATTATAAATTTTATTTAATTGTCTCACTTTAAACGATACAAACATTTTTGTACAGTTATTAGTTATACTGTCCTTAATATTGTCCTAAACAGATAATTATTTTTTTTTTGTACTTGCTAAATTATGTTGTCAAAATATTATTAAGTGTATTAATGGTTTTTGAAATTTTAGAGAATGATAATAGCAATGAAATGTCGCAGTATTCTGTATTACCAATTGTTCAATATATATCTCTTACAAAGAAAATTGATAACTATTTAAAAATATAAACATTTTTTGCATTCAGTTTCAACAGTTATTTACAAAAATTAACATAACTTACTATTGTAAAAACCATGGACAAGGGCGCCCACAGGGGGGGGGGGGGGCCGAGAGGGGCCATGGCCCCTCCCGCTTTTTTACCAAAGTTTTTAATTTTTATAATATTACAGTATATTTTTATAAATATTTTAGAAGTTTTGTAGCATTATATTATTTTTATTATTTTAATAAAATAGATCAATAATTGATTAATCATAAGTGATTAGTGATAAAATTTTCTGAAGTTATTAGATGAAGTCACATTTCTACCTTCGATAAAAAAATGTCTTATAATATATTTTTATTTTTACTACTTCAATTATTAATTATGTTTTATATTTGCTTTAAATTAGCTCACTTAAAAGACTTAAAACATGGCTTCGTAGTACTGTAACTGAGAACCGCTTGAATGGCTTGGCATTAATGAATGTTTACAAAACTTATGTGCAAGCTCAAAAATCAAACATTATAGATGAAACAATAAAATTATTTGCTATGGAGCCTAGGCGCATGCAATTTTTATTTAATGACCAATAATCTAATTAATCTAATTAGTTAATCTATATATTATATTATAAAAATGGAGACAAAAAATTCGAAATTGCATTAGTTGAGAACGGCTGGGCCGATTTTGCTCAAATTTTTTTTAAGATGTTCGTAATTGCCAGGTGAAGGTTTTTAAGAAAGAAAATTTTTAAAAAGTCAACCGAATAATTAGAAAAACTGCAAAAACTATTTATTGATGTCTGGGATTTGAACTCGATACCGTTGTCTTTATTTACTCTATTGTGGATTATATTATATTGGTTGCTATTGGTTAATCGGGCATGTTTGTTGATTTGTATTATTATTTTTTGTAAATATATCTTATATATAAATGAATGACGGTGTGTAGATTAGAACTATGAGAAGAAGATACTCTAATTTAAAAAGGGTTAAATTTGGTTTTTTTTATTCATCGGATTTTAGTACGGTTAGGTTAGGTTAGGATTTATAGGTAGGTGGAATTAAGTAAAAACGTCAAACTTGGTATAACTTTGGTACTTTTTGAGTTAAATCATACACTTACGTACAAACAGCACGGGGTCCGCGATCTACCGCAGGTAAATTACCTATCTGATAATGTACTGCTGCAATTCAGAATTTTTATTCCGGGCAACAGAAAAGTTAAGATAAATCTAGAACATCATACACCGAATATTAAATAACGCATTGAACAATGTTTGAG